TCAGTAAGTCAGTAACAATGTAAAACTTCGTACGTACGTACATCAGTCCGAGTTGCCACACCACAATAGCCATTCATTTGGCACTGATGATTTTTATTTTCAACTATAAAACTTATGGATTAGTGTAATGCTTTGATAAAGAACTAATTGAAGAGAAATATTTCTTCACTGAACTTGTGTTTTTGATAGTTAAGATTGATTAATAGTTATATGTTGGAGATAATGGTAAGAATCCAGAATAGAGGAGGTGATGTTACGGTTGCTAATAGTCAGATTTCCAGAAAGAATTATGGAATTGTGATGAAGATAGTAAATTATTCTATATTTAGAACTCAAATTAAATCAGTATTTGAACACTAATAAGACTTTATAAGCGTGAAAACTTAAAAGGGTTATTCGATTACAATCATAGTCACCATAGCAAGTGAAAGGTTCACCGCCTTATTAATTATTTTGAATGTATGGCTAAATTTGATTTTGTGTCCATCAAGACCCTGACGATTGAACTTGTTTAGAGTTTACTAACTTTCAGACAGGTCCCTTGGAATGTGTTTAAGCTTCTACCGAAGTTTATGAACACGTATCTTTATAATCAAATGATCTTTTTAAGTCTTCTGTCTTGCATGATATCGTTGATGCTCAAATATAAATTCGACATGTTCCAACTACACAATTGTATAATAATTTACTATTTCCACTACAACTGTATAGTCTTTTTATAAAAAGTCTAATTATTAGAAACTATGGCACTACCCCCTTTATTTTGTATTATTATTGTTATTACCATTAATATGTAGATATTCGTTAACCTTAACTATGTTCAATCAAATATATCATATCTTGTTCTTTTACCTATGAATTTTGGTTCTGTTTTGAATATTCATCTACACTTCCCTGACTACAGTATGTTAAGCCATCATTATAATCATATTACTCCTTGTAGCGAGAAGCCAGGAAGTAAAATGGATTCATTTTATTCTGCAGATTTTATTTGTGCACTGTTTAACAAAATATTGACTAGTTAAATGATTTCCCTACTCACATATTTAAATTGTTTCAACATAAGGTCACTCTTTTCACTTCTGACTGATCGGATGATGTAGACAGTTTTTAATGTATAATACCCAATAATTCTTGGTGTTGCACCGCTTCCCCACAGGTCTATTAATTTCGATAGCTATCCACACTACCAGCCAGTCATAAGCAACATTGAACCGAGCACATATACATCGGTCTTTTTTTTACACTACATCATCAAAGCACGACAAATTTATCTAGATAAATGCCAGAGTTTTAGAAGTGGTAGGAAACACTAGACGTAAGCAATATAATGCTTGGAGAAAGAATGATTTCGCGACACAAAAATAATAAGTATTTTAAGACAGTGATACCATACATACCATTGTAACTGGTTCTGAACCATGTCATCCAACGTTTCGAACCATTGATTACAAGGACCTCATCCAAATAACCTGCACCTACCAACACGACTCTATTCAACAGTTAATGACTTGATGGACTAGTATCATTTCTTAGTATATCTGCCCCTAGCTTTGTTCCGACGTTATCCTTTACCAACTATGACCGCATTTCGAGGCAAAACTTTTCAACAAACGTTGTACTTTTGTATCCCAATAAACTATATGTATGAAACAGTGAATTATTTAAATTTTTAGTTCCTTTTAGCATTTGCGATATGTTTTCCGAAAAGAAGTATAATATTATGACCAATAAGTGTGTGAACTGAACTACTAAATGCTTTTGGGGAGAAATACAAGAAGTTGATCAAATATTGAGAGGTGTTTATGGAGGTTACATATTAGATCAGGCGTCTCAGTGGAGATCGTGAAGATTGTAACATGATAAAAGACCAGGATGACAGTCGATCGTCTGTGTTGGTGATAATAAGTTTGTCATACTTTCTATTTGCCGTATTATTGTGTGAATATTTGATAATGAACTAGGTGTGAGGAAATCGTATTTGTATGACAGTTACAGGAAAAAATGAGGCAGCTGAAAATGACGATTTAATAAGTATACTGCCGTTTAATGGGGGATTTGGAATTCGATAAAATTAATATCTCTAAAATTACGATCTAACTTCTTATTTAACTTAACAGAATACATACTGCCATATGATAATTTTTAATTGTTTTATATAGAAATGATAATTGAACTTGAGCCTATACCTGAATTCTATACAGATTTAAACTAGCTGTCACAAATGACCGTTTTTTTCTTGCTAATTAGTGTGGTCACATCAATTAACGAATATTATGTTCCATTATTATGCCATCCAGAGGCTTAAATCAGTCAATGTTTTATCATTTTAACTAACCCCGTTAAGTATCCTGATTTGTGAATTATTTCCTTATTAACAATCTAATCAATATTTGCATTCATTCTTGTCGGTGTTAAGAGGTTGACAGTCTTGTCGAATACTTTACGTTCACTTAGCCTTTATTTGGTAACTATGATAACCAACTGTCTGTAAACGTACTTTCTATATTTACCATGAAATGATTCAGTGAACTTCAGGAAGTAACAAATCAACCATTCGTTGAATAAACTTTGATTTTCGTCATATATATCAGTCTATCATGTATACACGTATGTGCAGAATGATTACATTATATGCAAATAAGCTGGTTATACGATAAGTTAGCGTTAATAAATTTGCTTAAAAAGTCTAATTCATCAGTATTGATAATTCAGTACGTATAAATGACCAATAGTAATTACTGAACATCTTCAGTGGGTCAAAATCATCAATTTTAAAAAAAATCTAAATTACAATATGTCAAGTATCAGTAGTATAAACCTATATCTATCTTGTTTAATTATTTATTAATAGAAGATAAACACCAGGTAAATCCGGCTGACGAGTCCCAAGTGGGACGAAATGCGCGTCCTGGATTCCACTTGCTTACGCCTGTTACTACTCGTGAAGGAGCATAGGCCGCCCACCAGTATTCTCCATCCAACCCTGTCATGGGCCATCCTTCCCAGCGCTTTCTAGTTGTTATTCATCCTTTTCATATCTGATTCTATTTCCCGACGTAATGTGTTCTTTGAACTTCCGCTTTCCCACTTCCTTTCAGGATTCCAAGTTAGGGCTTGCCTCGTAATGCAGTTTGACGATTTGCGTAATGTATGTCTTATCCATTTCCATCCTCATTCTCAACATTTCCTCTTCATCTGGAAGCTGGTTTGTTCTCCCCCTACAGTAGGTTGTTATTGATGGTATCCGGCCAATGCGTAGACAACTATTTATAAATACTGAACCTTCTTGATGATGGTTGTAGTAGTTCTCCAAGTTTCAGCTCTGTCTGGATTCCATTGCTAGCCACTAAACCATCTTTGCTTATAATGTTTGTGAATTAAAGCAATATCGAGGCAATCCGCACAGGATGCATATATGCCAACATGAGACTGATCAATTGCAGTTCTAAACATCAATGAAAGGATTCAAACAAACAATATATATTCTTGTTCAATTATGCTCATAGTATCTATCCTCTCGTCTCCTGTCCTCTCCTCTTCTCTACACGACAACCACCTCCACCCCCACTTTTTCAAAATACATAAATAAAACAAGCAATCTTAATTGATCATTACAATAAGCGATAATAATTAAGATAAGATTTCAGTAAAATCTTGTTAGTTTTTTGTTTGTTCTTGTTGTAGTTTCTTTTTTTTTACATTTTTTAACGGATACACAAATTCATTTTCAATGTAAATAATTAAAATGTATATGAATTAGAATAGAAATAAATTCTGATTGAAATCTTTATCTACTCTCTCTCTCTCTCTCTCCCTCCTTATCTTTACATATTTTGTTTTATATTTCAATAAAAAATAGTTGAATTTATAATAGTAATTATTATTACTACTCATGAGTAGTATTGAAATAAAACGTGTAATATTTGTATTGTAGTGTTTAAGTTACAATAGAATCATGTTTACAGTATATTCTGTATTCATAATAAACATTGTTCATTGATCATTTAATTGTAAAAGAGAAAACAAACAAACCAAAAACAATCTAATTTAATAATAATAATAGTTTGATAGTTTTTCATTTTGGACAAAAACAAAAGAAGAAGAAGAAGAAACAGGAAAAAAAGTGTTTGTCAACAAATTTGTAAATGAAACTAAATTATAGAAAAAGAAAAAAAGACAACAAAATGATGAGAGTTAAGTCATAATTAGAAGAAGAAGAGAAAGGAAAAGAGAAAAACAAATCTGACCAACACAAAATGAAATTCAATTTATAATTAAATCCATCAAATCTGAAAGAAGATTTTTATATATTTATATATATAGATGTATAATGTTTAATTATGTATATAGAAGAATGTTGAATATTTCTTGGATCTATTTATTCACATGTACTTTTCGTGCAGAAAATGCGGACACTAATCTCTCCCCTCTCTCTCCGTATATATATACTATAGAATAGAATAGAATAGAGGTCCATCCTTTCTGCCAATTTTTCATATAATCTGAATCAATTAAGTGTACAATGTTTACATTGTTATTATAGTATGATTATTTAACATTTCATGCATAATGCAGGGGGGGGGGATCGAGGGGTAGGGATAAGGGAGAAATTAATCAGTCAATTATTCTAATTGTTTACAAATACTGATATCTGGAGTTTAACAAATTGTTTTTATACAATTTGAATACTCTTTTATTATGCTAATATCACAAATGTATAATAATTCTTTTTGTTGATAAGTTTGTTTATTCTGCTCTGTAATAGGAAATCTATTATGAATCATATAGGTGATATATATATATATATAAGGGGTATTTAAATCCAATGAATCATTTTGATATTCAAATGTTTTGGATAATCACATAAACCGGAAGTTTATTTCTTCCATGCTTGATTGAAACGATTTTTAATTTTTGATAAATTTCCTGATGATGAATTACTATAAGTTGGTAGTGTTCTTGTCATTGTTGTTGTTGTAGTTACACTATTTATACTACTATTAATAATATTCGTAAAATGAGTAGTATGAGTGTTAGTAGTAGTAGTAGTAGAAGCAGCAGTAGTAGTTATTGTTGTAATGATACTAGGTGACATAATTGTTGTTGTTGTTGTTGTTGTTGTGCTTTCATTAGATGATAATCTAGATTTTTGTTTAATATCTGTGGAGAATTTATATGAATAAAGATTTTTCACACGATTTGATTTGATTAAAGTTGTTTCATTCGAAGTAGAATCAGATTGATTTGTACGGGAACTTTCTAATAAAGGTGATAATGAACTATTTAATGTTGTTGTATTATTATTCATAAGATTTGGCATTTCATCATCATTCATTATTCTTAATGATTGATCTAATGAAGTTTGATAATTTTGTATTAGATGATCTTGAATTATTGGCTTATTCATTAAAGGAATTTCTATACTTAATTCATTGGTTAATTGATCTTTATCGGAATAAGTTGGTGAAGAATGTGAATCAGTTAGATTAGTTATATTGGATTTGATTAATAGACCAGTAGATTGACTAGATTCTTTTGCTTGTTTTATCCATTCATTTGATTCATTTAATAATAATGTCATTAGTTCAGTTTGTCCTGTTAATAAACGTAAATTCCAAGTTACATTATCAGCTACACGTGACATACGTCGCCAATAGATTGAGGTACCACTAGTAGTTGTTTTATTATTTCGATTATCTGTATTATCTTCTATAATTTGTGGAGTTACACGTTGGCTAATTTCTGATGTCAAACTACCAAAACGTGTTTCATGACTATGAGATATTGAACTCCTTAATGATGTAGTGGCTGCTGCCGCTGATGATGTTAATTTTGAAATGGTGGTCGCATGAGATGATGGCGCTTTTAAACCTTCTAAAAAAGTAGTATATGCGTCTAAGGCAGTTCTTTGAGTTTGTTGTAACTAGAATTTATGTAATTAAGGAAAAAAGATGTAAAATATTCAGTTGATAAAAGTGGAAAGGATCAATTTTATAAGTTAAATAATCAGTTTCATAGTTTACCTTCCAGGATTTAGACATAAATCAGTCTTAAAACAATATGGCATGAAGTAGCAGTTCCCATACTTACTAGAAATAATCAGAGGAATGTATTTTTAATCACTCAAAATAGCATTACTTATCTTATACTCTAACTATTGAGCTTCAGTTAATTACTACTGCAGTTACAGGTGTTAGTTATCTTGGAGCCATGTTCACTCAGTTTCAATTAGATGAGTATCTGTTGTTCGCATTGGAACTAAGTCAAAATCAAGCAAAAATGAAAAGTATTATAAAAATCATACGGGATATTAGTATAATGATCGTTTCAGGAAGCTATAATCAACGGTGATGTATATCAGTTAGCCTATCGCACTGCATTGTTCTCCACTTAATTTCACGTCAGGGTATCCTAACTCTAGAAAGTATAAAGGATCATAGTAGGTGGTTGAATCTTAACTATTGATATAGAATTACCTTGGAACAGAAAAATTCAAGGAATCTAACCAAACAGATTCTAGGGTGAGACTATAATTTATGGACGGCCTTTGAGCGACTCTAGACTGACCTTGAGTGTCTACCTAATAACGAAGACCAAATGAAGGTTATAAATTAATGTGAGGAATTATAATGATAATTTACAGTTGATGATTAAGGTTAGAAATTAGATTTAGGGTTTTCATCACCAATCGACATCAGCTATAATGCCAAAATGCTATTTATCCAAATGGATGAGTGAATTTCGCGCCAAAATCTGAGACCTGTTATCTTATACCTGATTGGTTTGTCCATAAATTATAGTCTCGCCCACTTCATGAAATAAACAAAATAATCAATATTATTAGTTTATTCAATGAAGAACGACAAATATTATTGGCTGAAGTGACTTCATTTTGTTTGCTATGCTCTAAATCTTCTAAACATGCATCAACTCTGAATAGATCAATAAAGTGTTTCCTAAACCTAACGTTGAATATTAAATACATAAGATGATTTGGTTTAATAGTGGAAAATAATTCATCTTATGCCAGAACGTTTGTTTTATTAGCGTTTATTTAAGAATTTAGTAGTATCAAGTCCTAGTTTTCTTTAGTTCATCAGTTACTTTTGTGTTAAAATGTTCTTGAAATTCAAATAAGCAGTCGTAACTGGTGGAGATCAGACATATTAAGAGTGAAACATTTGTTCACAGTGAGACTGAATGATTGTGACTCTATACGACAAATTGGCTCATTTTGAAACTGTACCAGTGAACGTTAGTCCAGCTGCTTTAATGCTGACTGATTCTCCACTAGACCTAATGGTCTTCAATCCCAGCCTCGGTAAAGTCATAGGTGCTCACTGCTGAGTAGTCTCGTACTGGAATGAGACAGCTATACATTACTGCAGAAGGTCGGTCGCGGTCCGAATAACCCAGTAGTGACGTCTCTGAGTGTGTGACACGGGATCGAATACGTCAGGGAGCACCAGTTCCCTCAAGACTACAGGTACACCTTGCTGACGAGTGCCAAGTAGCACGAAACACGAGTTCAGGATTTCCTGTTTACTACGTTTAACCACCATCTAAGCTATACATTACTCTCTGGTTTATAATGGTATCTCAACTGAAATTAGTTTGTGACCAATACAACCTACAAACTGTTGGACTTATCATTTACATTATAGATTCAGTGAAGTTGAAATATGAAACATTAGATATCCACTCAGTAGCTGAAAAGTTAAATGCCCACCTTGAGGCCTGGAAGTATTATGCTTTTATCGCTGGTCAGATCGTATATATGCATTACTGAAGAGGCCTGATTTAAGTCGAAACCACTGCTTAATTCTTCTCGAATTTTCTGATCACTTTCCTAACAGATCTCACTTTATACTAATAACTAATTTTAATAAATATTAGTTACAATTAAGTATAGAAAATAACATACTTTTACTCGAAGATATGGTCCTTGTTTAATCAGTGTTTTACATGATTCAATAAGCTAGAAAACAAAAACGAAAGACGTTTAAAACAAAAAAACCAACTACACAAAGTAAATATTTTATTTGTGAAGTGTTCAATTCAATCAGTCAGCTACAACGTAGGATCAGGCACATATATGCACCGGTCCAAGTTGCCATACCTCATTAGCACAGCAAGACTAACATCGGATTCATAAAAGTAGTTAATTCAGAGGTGGTAATATATAAAGGAAAGATTGCATATAACGATATAGTACAGGAAGAAAGAATTAGTTGGTAGAAAAAAAGACATGAAGTGATTTTAATCACTTAGTTTAAGGGAAGACAAAGAGTGTATATACCGACACGATTGTAATCGATTCTGAACCATGTCACACATAGTCTCCAACCATTGGTTACGACAGTCACGCAGACCTTAACCTAGTAGTCTGCATCTACCAACATGGCTCAGACTAGAAGTTAGTGACTTCAAGCACTGATGACACGTTCTGGTTTGGCCACCCCTAACTTTCTTCCAACCATCCCCAACACTAGTCAGCATTGCGCATAGTGGTAATCGGTGTTCAGGCATACGTAACACGTGGCCCAATCATCTCAGTCGATGAAGATTCACAACCTCATCAAATGATTTACCGTCATCCCCCAATACCCTATGTCTAACCTCATTTTCACTTACCCAGTGATCCCAGCAGATGGGAGCAATATTTTTAAGACATCTATGGTCAAATACTAGTAAATTACAAGTATGCTCTACTCTCATCGATCACGTTTCGCACCCATAAAGTAGAACAGAACGAACTTCTGCGCAGTATACTCGTCCTTTAATTGATAGACGGATATTTCTCCTTCGTAATAGGTGACATAATTTCGCAAAAGCCAAACAAGATTTTCGAATCCATGCTGAGATTTTGTCAGACACCAACACATTAAAGCTGATCAGACTTCCAAGATAAGTGAAGTTGTCAACGCGTTCGACTACTTCAAGCCCTATCCTTAGTTGATGTGTTGACACAGGCCAGTCCTGATGCAGTAACTTGCATTTAGAGTGGGAGAAGCTCATTCCAAACATTCTAGCATTGTTGCTTAGTGCTGCCAAAAGACTCAGCATTTTATCAGCGTCTTCACCAAACAGGACTATATCATTTGCGTATTGTAAGTCGATAAGTGGACCTCCTGGTAGGAGATCAATCCACGAGAATTCAGTCGACAAGAGCATTATTTCCATCAGTATGTCTTTGATGAAGTTAAACAAAAGTGAATAAAGTAGATAGCCTTGACGGACACCACTTGAGATTGCAAAAGCAGTTCTCCATACGCTCTGACTCGACTAGTAGTGTTCGAGTAAAGAGCTTTCACGAAGTTTATGTACTTCTGAGGTACTCCTTTCAATGACAGACACTGCCACAAAATCTCGCGATCTATGGAGTCAATTCAAGCATTGTAAGATTTATTTCATAGAGGAAGGGAGGGGGTTAGCTAATTTTGAAGATAAATATTTTTTTAATTTTTGTGGTATAAACAAGTAACCAACCCAAATGATTGTTAGTCAAATTGTCGGAAAATATTTTTTTATTTTATTTTATAATTAAACAAAAAAAAGTTTACTTGAATTTCTAAGTGATCATACTTTTATAGTTAGTGGCTATAAACAACACAATGAATTGAAATGATTCTAAATAATCAGTAATTGTATTCACATAACGTAATTTTCATAATTTGTATCATGGACTGTGATCTCAGTTACGGAAAAATAATTCAAGGCCTAGAAATAACGAATAGCTGTCTAGTTCTTAACACTATCCTACTAAGGATCTTTGAATTTCATTATATGCATCTAACCTTCATTATTTATTTGTATACATAAATATTGGTTCAAAGGAACACACAAGTCACTTGGTTTGTGCCTGGGTGCCCAACTCGAAGCAGCTGCTTTTCTTAGGGGGCTTTCGACCTCAAGGTATGATCCACAAGACGGTGGAGAATCGTAAGGAGATGCAGTCACATGGTAGCCGGTGACCAACTATTGGTTCATACGCCATTTGTTCCTTCAGGATCCTGGAGCCCATGTGCACTATTGGTTTGGAATGAGGGTTTTCCAACTCCCCTTGCTGGACTCTGTATCCACCAACCCGGTCAAAGCGTCGGACATTCGCTTTTAGTTCTCTCTCTTCTGATGCGAGAAGGCAGTGAGTAGGACTTCCCTGTCAGTGGCTATATACGCGTGGTTGTGTGGGAGCATTTCGAGATGAAGATCTAACTCTTCCCACCCTCGACCGTACCAGGGCATTTAGGGGCACTTAATCTTCATACTACTAAGTATTCAGTACTTATATGTCTAACTTCAAACAGTTTACGACATCATGTAACCATCTTTCAACACCCGATATTAAGTTCACTGGTTATTATCCGTCCGCTCTTAGAGAAATCATAATATATCTGATCAGTAATGCAAGTTGAATAGGAAGTAATTAATTCCACACTGCAGTTTTCAATGCTGTTTATAAACTGTCAATGAAGGTATTTCACTATGTTTATCAGAAAAAAAGTGTTTTAAAAGAATTTATGTATATGGAAAAGTGATGAGTAACAACAAACAGTAGATTTTCAAAGGGCAATATGGGATTGTTATGTTTTTCTTTTATGACTTTTTCTTCTTAAATATCTAAGTGATTTCAGTATATCTTAACATATAACAAGGATAATATTACAATCATTGTGAAAGGAATCTTTTTGATTGGTTATGTAATTCCGGTTTTGGATCTTTAATAGGATATAAGAAAATTAGGCTACCAATGTAACAAACTGATATGAACTGTCATATCACTATCTGGCTTTGCTTAAACAATCAATGGTAACCAAAAAGAATCGATGATTGGAAACTTCAAATGTAATAATATGATTTGGTCTAAGATTAATATCTTAGCCTGCATCCTAATAAAGTGAAAATTTCTTAATTTTGAACTCTGATTTCATTCTGGTTTATTGTTTGTACGGCTGTTAGATTTTTATACCTAAGTGTAACCAGCTAGTGATAGAAAAATTCCATTTCTGAAACTTGGCTACTTATTTTGCTTGAAAGTAGTGTGATTTGCTTATAAACTCTCAGCATGTTAGGAAATACAATAGAATAATTCCAAATATTGACCATGTAATTTTCACTTATTTTTCTTGAATTATCAAAGATAGCAAACACCCATATGAACGATGAAGTCAGCGACTGAACATGTGTTCTCTAGGAATATAGAATTCATGCTTATATTTCTCTTAACCCAATTGGCCAATAATTCAATATTATTGGTGAGGATCCATTATAAATTCGGAATTGTTTGATTTTACAGGTCATACCCTATAAGAGTTTCTAAATATCCACCTTTGATGAGAAGGATCCTAGACTTAGATAACATTTCTCATGTAATCAAAGTGAATAATAATAATAATAATCAATTACCTTCAGATCTCTAACTACATAGTGAATAACTTAAAGCCCTATTGGAAAGACGTAATTTATGTCGTAAACTAGGTTATGCTTGTCATTGAGTATTCAAGCTGCTGATATTTAATGATATCCATACTATATTACGAGTAAACTAGAATTGAGAAGATGCATGAGCCTTGCTATTTTAATTCGTCCTCTTGAGTGCTGTTAGAGGTGTGAGGGCGGTTATCACTTCCCGGTTGCCCACACCGTGGAAGGGTTGTTCTGGAGGTAACCGAAAACGAAGTTGGATTAGAGGTGGTCTTAGTGACCTGAGAGCGTGACTGCAATGCCCGAGGGACAACTGCTTGAAGTCGGTCACACACGACCTTTTTATGGGTAATTTCTGTGTTAGCTCCGTACTTGTTGAGACCTTACCGTCGGAGACGGATATCCGTGAGATAAAGTGAGGTGTGTATTTTAGGGTCGACCTTTTCTAACCCCGCCCCTCCTTGTGGGGAGGCAGCATCGCTGTCACACTGGTTGTCTGGAGGGAACACCTTACTGCTGTCACACCTCTGTACAGTCAGCAGTACGACTTCACCTTCGGACCTTGGGTTTGTTGCTTTTAGTCTTACCGCTCTTCAACCGACCTGTCTGACATGGTAGGACCTTGAGGAACGGTTGTTCCAGCCAGTATAGCTCGGTTGCTTCATCACAATAGGCAGGCCCGACCACGACGTCAGGGTAGCAACAACGGTCGAGTTTAATTCGTCCTAATTGTATCTTATAAACCATGGGAGGTAAAGCCGTGGAGTTGAATATCATACATTTTCGTAGGTTTATACTTCGACTAAACATCTCTAATATGTTCTTAAAAAACATACAATCATATACTTTCGTTATTTATGGTAAATTAAACTCATTTGTTTGCTGGGAGTCTAACGTGCGGTAGATTCTGGCATTTAATAGATTAAAAGTAACTTACATTTTCGAACTCATTGACAGCTTTTTTCAATTTATCCAAACGTCCAACGGAAAAAGAAGAAATACTACTGCTACTTGAATGAATACTTGGTCGCCTTGCTATATTATTTGTCGAAATAGTTGGTGAATGTTCCTGTACACTATGAGTACTACTATTACCGTTACCATGACAACCCATAACATCAATTGATAAAGCTGATGCAGAATCTTCATCAATTGATTTTGTGCTACTTTTTAAGCGTCTATTTAAAAATAGTCGAGGGGAAAGAATTAATGAAGGTGAACGATGCAATCCAGGCGCAGGAGAAAAACGTAATGAGGAATTGCGGGTTAATGATGATCCAAGTGTACCATGATGAGATACTGGATCACCGAGTGTACTTAAACTTGGATAACCACTTAGCCCGGATCCAGAGAATGAATTTTGTAGCTCTAAATGAGGCATTTCATCTTCTGGTCTAATACGCATACGTACAGGCCACAAATCTGGTGATCCGAACGCTGTTGCAATACGTGTAGACAACGCTCGAATACATTGATTCATGGATAACGGTGTTGATGTTTCACCACATAGTCGTCTAAAATTATCGAAACTAGTGAGTACAGATGTTCGGAGTTCACACACTTGACGCAATGTTGTTGCCGTAGCCTAAAATTAGGAAAAAATAGGCGATAAAAATACTCAAATGTAAGTGAAATTAGCAAACACAGATTGTGGCTATCAGTGGAATATCATATCTGAGATTCGTCAGTTGGATGTACCTGCATATTAGTGTTGATATTCATACTCAGATTTGAACTCAGTACATAATGCTTTAAACGCCAACTCTTCACATACCAAGCTATTGAATGCAAGTGCTATTAACCTGTTCATCGGGAAAACACAAACCCTTAAAAAGTAATTTCATACAATTTACTCCCGTAATAAATTTGAGCACAGAAAAAGTAAATTTTTGATGTCGTTACAAATAGCCTTATATCTGTTGAACGAATCAGTGGCTAAATTGAATCAATAGATTAGCGAATAGAACGTCATGGCTTGAAGTTAAAGCTGATGGTTTCAAGTTTCCGTGTGAACAACCAATCTAGGATCCAGGTTCATCCAGCTGACGCGTCTCATATATGGCGGAACTAACGTGATGAATTCCATTACTAACCACAACCCAAATATACTAAAACGTTTAACTGAGAAGTAATATCGCGAAACCCGTACTGGAGGCACATATACCAATGAAGACTGATCAGTTGAGGCTTTGATATCAATGACGAGAAAGTGGGGACGAATCCAGCGTCTTGCCGTATAGGAGTATTTTAAAGGGGGATAAAACTGATGTACCCTAAGTTGTAACTAGAAATTTTCGTAACTTTTCTGTACGTATTTAATGAATAGATTAGTAGTCCGAAATCTGTTTGTGGTGACAGCTGTAGTTACAATTTATAGTATTGTTACAAACATAATGATAAGACTGCAGCAGTGTGTTGCTCGACTTGATTCTTTATCATAATGTGCTCTTCCCCTATCCAGATGATTTGAAACAGTTGACTGAAAGTCTTAAAGCCTACGTTTGTGCTATTTACTAATTATTAGTGACGTATTTCTCCCATCTTTAGAGTAATCACAAAGAACTCGTTAATTACCTCTCTGACAGTGACATAGATTTCAGTTGAACAGGAAACATAAGTTTCCTCAGAGTTGTAAGTACACCATACAGATAAACAATAAGTAATGCAACATTTAGATCCAGGACTTTTCGCTGATCGCTTTCAAGTGCTTAAAAGTAACATTTTAGTTTTTTTACTTATCAGTTTAGTTGATCTATCAACAACAGAAGGGCAATGGAATATATTTATAATGAATTATGTTGACCAATAAATATACTCTTCATGGTCATTAGTGATAATCCTGGTTCCAGTATTTTCAAGGTTAATTCTTTCTAAAAAAACTAGCAAACGTTCATTGATATCGATATATCAATCTAAAAAAAAACTTATTAAGAAAGTAGAAAACAAATTTATTTGATAAAAAATATATAGTTACCTTGAATATTTCATCAAATGTGGAAACACCAACTTTTTTCAACTGTAATTGTCGACGATTACGTGAACGCCATCTATGAAGTAGACCAGTATTTGTTTCCTGTTTAATTAAGAAAGGGAATAACACTTAAAGTTTTGAATTTCTTTATTATTCTGTTTTGAATTTATCATGTGCAAATGATCTTTATTAATCAATAACACATAAAAAGCAGTTCATTACAAGCTATCAAAATCATGTGTTCTACTGATGGATAGTGGCTAGCAGTGGAATCCAGGACGCGCGTTTCGACCTGTTTGGGACTCGTCAGTTGAATGTACCTGCATCTCAGAGTTCATGTTCACTCTGAGACTCGAACGCAGTACCACTCGCTTCAAACGCCATCGCGTTATCCACTCAGCTACTGGGTCCTGATAGCCACTTGATTATGCAATGAGGTCCTATTAATAGGACGAAACGCGCGTCAAACTGGATTCCACTGCTAGCCACTATCCATCGTTGCTTACAAAAAGCTTGTGAATTAAGACAATATCGAGGCATACTCACAGTATGCACATAGACCAATAACAAACTGATCAATTGCAGTCCTAAAACATCAATGGAAAGATACAAGCCAAACGATACCAAGTGAATTCATTTGTTCTACTGATAAAACTCAGAGGATTTATGATGGAAATCAAGAATTTGTGTTGATAATACACAAATTGAAGACAAATATAATTGCTACCGTTAAACCATAAACTTAGCTGAGTCACAGAATATTAGAAGTAAAAAATATGACTTGAAAGAAATAAATGTTTATGGAATGATGATATTACTACTGATATACATTATTAAGTAATATAAAATCTCAGCAAAAAAGGTGATAATGGTTGGTTGAATAATAGAATGAATTGTCTGTCAAAGTTACGCTTGTGTTGTGTTTAGCGATGTGAATCAAAATCTGGAGTCGAAAATTGTCAACCATACTGACAACTGACCTAAAATATTGACTCTTATTTCCATTGCTTCTTATTGATTACACAAAATGAAAATTAGAATAGTGATGATGTAATTAATCCATTAGACATCAACCACTTAATTTTCAGTTCAAAAAACCCCCCGATCTATCTACTTTTATTTAGTAATTTTAAAATAGAACTCACTAAAGTCACTGTAGGGAAATGTCGAATGAGTAAATTTTGGCTTGACTAGAGAATGAGACTAACTTATTAAAATTTGTAAGAAAAGGTATTTAGATAATGGTTATCAGTAGAGTAATCAGTTCTAAATATGGCATAACACATGTATCCTGTGTTCCCACTACTAAGTAATAACAAAAATATTTGAAAAAAATTCATTTCGATGATCGACAATGAGTAGATATACCCTTACGAATAATAATGACGAATTACTTCCGTTGTCGGATAATGAAATAAACAAGCAAAAACAAAATCTGTGCCAGTTTGAAATGTCCCAGACTTTGACTAGAAGTTGGTTACGAAAAAATGAAAACAAATTAGATATATGTATCACTAAATTACATTTGTAATTTTTAAGGAAATGATCCTTTCTATAGGATAAAAATAAACAATAATTAATGTTACATTTAGAGACGTTGCAAGTCCGCCTGGAGCCCCTCCGGGGGATACTGCCGGTCCCATGCCCGGATAAAGGAGGAGGGTTGGGCATGGAGTTAGCGATCCCATCTTGTAGAAAACTAACTCGCTGAGAAAACACAAACCAAAAAATCATTTAAACCCTTTGAACTCTGCTCTGGGAGTCAGATGGTCTTCGTTTAGAAGAGTTATGACGCCTCATGATGAAGACCGAGTCGCTTCGGAAGTCACGAGGCCAACCCCTTCTGACAACCAGAGCAACCATTTATTTAGGTACATGGAATGCTCGTACAATGTGGGACACCGGGAGAACCTTCCAAATTGCTGCAGAAATGAGAAGATACAACCTAGAGGTGCTTGGGATCAGCGAAACACATTGGACGCAAGTTGGACAACAACGACTAACTACAGGAGAGCTCCTGTTATACTCCGGCCATGAAGAAGAAAATGCACCACATACACAAGGAGTTGCATTGATGCTATCCAAACAAGCACAAAATGCACTTATAGGATGGGAATCTCATGGACCAAGGATCATCAAAGCCTCGTTTAAAACAAAGAAAGAGGGCATTTCAATGAACATCATCCAATGCTATGCGCCTACCAACGACTACAATGAAGACGCTAAAGATCAATTCTACGATAGGCTGCAGTCAAACATCGAGAAGTGCCCAACAAAGGACCTGACCATTCTGATGGGAGATTTAAATGCCAAGGTTGGAATGGACAACACCGGATATGAAGACATCATGGGATGACACGAACTTGGAGAAAGGAACGGAAATGGTGAGAGATTTGCAAATCTATGTGCCTTCAATAAGCTGGTCATAGGCGGCACCATATTCCCACATAAACGCATACACAAAACCACATGGACTTCACCGGATCACACTACACAAAGCCTAATCAACCATATTTGCATCAACAAAACGTTCAGGAGGACTATAGAGGACGTGAGAACCAAGAGAGGAGCTGATATAGCATCAGATCATCACTTGCTGGTCGCCAAGATGAAATTGAAACTCAAGAAGCACTGGACAACGGGGCGGACAATATCACAAAAGTTCAATACGGCCTTTCTTCAGGATACTAACAAACTCAGCAAATTCAAGATAGTCCTCAGCAACAAGTTCCAGGCATTTCATGATCTACTCAATGGAGAAGGAACTACTGTGGAGAGCAACTGGAAGGGGATCAAAGAGGCAATCACTTCAACATGTCATGAGGTCCTGGGTCACAAGAAGCACCATCACAAGGAATGGATCACTGTTGATACATTGGATAAGATTCAAGAAAGAAGGAACAAGAAAGCAGCAATCAATACCAGTCGAACAAGGGAAGAAAAAAACAAGGCACAAGCTGAATACACAGAAGTAAACAAACAAGTGAAGAGGAGCATCAGAACTGACAAACGTAAATATGTGGAAGATTGAGCAACGACGGCGGAAAAGGCTGCAAGAGAAGGAAACATGAGACAATTGTATGACACGACAAAGAAACTCTCTGGAAATCGCCGCAAACCAGAACGACCAGTGAAAAGCAAGGAAGGCAAGGTAATCACCAACATTGAAGAGCAACAAAACAGGTGGGTAGAACACTTCAAGGAACTCTTGAATCGACCAGCCCCACTGAACCCACCCAACATCGAAGCAGCACCCACGGACCTCCCAATCAATGTTAGCCCACCAACAATTGAAGAAATCAGCATGGCCATCAGACAAATCAAGAGTGGCAAAGCAGCAGGACCGGACAACATCCCAGCAGAGTCACTAAAAGCAGACGTAGCGGCAACTGCAAGGATACTCCACATTCTCTTCAATAAGATTTGGGATGAGGAACAAGTACCAACAGACTGGAAAGAAGGACTTCTGATCAAAATACCGAAGAAAGGCGATCTCAGCAAGTGTGATAACTACAGGGGCATCACTCTTCTCTCAATACCGGGAAAAGTCTTCAACAGCGTATTGTTAAACAGGATGAAGGACTGCGTAGACGCCCAACTTCGTGACCAACAGGCAGGATTCCGTAAGGATAAATCGTGTACAGACCAAATCGCAACTTTACGGATCATTGTGGAACAATCAACTGAATGGAATTCATCACTCTACATCAACTTCATTGACTACGAAAAGGCATTTGATAGCGTGGACAGGACAACACTATGGAAACTTCTTCGACACTACGGCGTGCCTCAGAAGATAGTCAATATCATACAGAACTCATATGATGGATTACACTGCAAAATTGTGCATGGAGGACAATTGACAGACTCGTTCGAGATAAAGACCGGTGTTAGGCAAGGCTGCTTACTCTCACCCTTTCTCTTTCTCCTGATGATCGATTGGATCATGATCAGGCCCTCCTATCGTAAACGCAACAACAAATGCAGGAGAAGACGACCAATGTAGCAGCAGTTTCATCAGCAGTAGATCTCAACATACACAAAGGGAAAAGCAAGATTCTCCGATACAACACAGCATGCACCAGTCGAATCACACTTGACGGAGACGATTTCGAAGATGTAAAAACCTTCACATATATGCGCAGCATCATTGATGAACACGGTGGTTCTGATGCAGATGTGAAGGAGTGGATTGGCAAAGCAAGAGCAGCATATTTACAACTGACGAACATCTGGAACTCAAAGCAACTGTCAGTCAATACCAACGTCAGAATTTTTAATACAAATGTCAACACAGTTCTACTGTATGGGGTGGAAACTTGGACAACTACGAAAGCCATCATTCAGAAGATGCAAATGTTTATTAACAGTTGTCTACACAAAATACTTCGGATCCGTTGGCCGGACACTATCAGCAACAACCTACTATAGGAGAGAACAAACCAGATCTCAGTGGAGGAAGAAATCAGGAAGAAGCACTGGAAGTGGATAGAACACACATTGAGGTAATCAACCAACTGCGTCACAAAACAAGCTCTCACATGGAATCCTCAATGCCAAAGGAAAAGAGGAAGACCAAAGAACACATTACTCTGAGAAATGAAGATAGACATGAGAAAAATGAACAAGAATTGGATGGAACTAGAAAAGAAGTCGGAGGACAAAGTGTGTTGGAGAATGCTGGTCGGCGGCCAAATGCTCCATTGGGAGTAACAGGCGTAAGTAAGTAAAAAAAGTAGAGACGTTGCCACTAAGCTATTTGGACTACTACTGACTTCATCTAGAAGTGAGATATTTACAGTTGGTTAATCAGTGAGTTGTTTCAAATTTCTTGTCTATTTAGTCCTTAGTACTAATTGAATCCTAGACATTGATTAAATATAAAAGTGATGAATATATCCAAATTGCCGAAACGTAATTAAACAATGTGAGGGACGTTCGAACTAGCTACTTACTGGGTTGAATGTCGAATATTGTAACCACTAAATAATCAATGAGCAGGAAGTAAGTTAATTTAAATAAACATCAACAAGACGCTAATCAACTGCAGTTCTAAACAACAATTGGAAGATACAAGTAAAACAACGCCAAGTGAATTTAAACGTCACCCAATTGCACAAGTAGGTGGCTATCAGGACTCAGTAGATAAGTGGAGAACACGATAGCATTTGAAGCCAACGATACTGGGTTCAATTCCCAGAGTGAGCATCAACTCTGACACGCAGGTATAGTGAATAAGAACATGAGTGGGGATAATCGAACGTACTTGGCACGGAATTACAGAGAATCTCACTAAAATCTGAGAACCATATAGTAAATCGTTAATTTGCAAAATATCAATCCATCATCTCAAACTTCACTGTTCCTTTGCAAATATCAGTCCATTGTCTCGAATTTCATTGTTCATGCATTTTCATACCAATTGCGTTCCATTTCCTTTCCCTATCGATCTTCCACTGAAATACATTCTATGCCTGATCACAGTTATATACTACTTATAAGGATTTAAGCCTTTAACTAGTGAAATTAGAAGCTGTCCATAGTTCTTATAAAGTATAGTTATTTACTACAATGAAACAGAGGATACACGCAGATTATCATAATTATCTCGTTCCCACAATATAGTATGAATATTTATCTATTTCGGTCATAAACACAATTTTGTTTATAAAAAATCGTGAAAAGAGTTTTGAAAACGGATTCCCCTATCTTCAACATTTTGTTGTTTTTTATGTGGTTTGCATCATAAACAGATTTTAGGTAGATAATTATTGAAAAACAGGAAGCACTAGATAAATGTTTCATCTTAGCAGAAGATTTCTTAAAAGTGCTCATCCATGATCCTCAATGGGGTTGAACCTAGAACCTATAAACCTTGTCGCAAACGTTTAGTCTTTAGATAACTAAGTCGACAAACAATTATTTAAGTGCTTAAACTCAATCGATTTGCGATACTGAGAAAATGTCTTCCATTGTTAGTGGTGGGTAACCAATTCATGTCCTATATGATTCAATTCCAACAGTTACAGCTTCTCATTGGAGTTTTTCATAATTTTATTTGTCATCGCGGTATAAATCTGATTGTGGTTTGTTCAAATCCAGTAGGGAGCATTGATTCGTTTAAGATTGCATGTATGACTCTCTGATAAGTGCCACCCAATACAAAATCTAGGTCTAGAGTCTTGTAGCTGATGCATGCCTTATGGATTTTGAGTCATAAAATAGTCTGGCTATTTTTGTATTCTGATTGGACAGGCTAGAATCGAAGAAGTCAGGTAGGACAATCAGAGCACTCAATATTATGAATGTTACATTTTTTCCAAAGCAGTGTATAACAAATATCCCAAGCTTTTAGCTTGTCAATGGTTATTGAACTAATATTAGTTTGTCAAAAGAACTATTTTTAAGAATGTAATAAATCCTCAAAAATCACACAATTAAATCAACTACATCTAGCCGGCTATCTTCTTTTTGGTTGAGATCATAAATTGATTGATGTTTGATCACCATTGAAACCCTGGAAGCACTAGACGGCCATTTCGTCCGATTGTGGGACGCCTCAGAAGTATGCATCCGCGATCCCGCACTCGGGATTCGAACCCAGGGTCTTCATTCTCGCGCGCGAACGCTTAACCTCTAGAACAATGAGTCGGTATCCAACAGTGTTAATGTCTAACCTCAACCAATTCATGATCTCAATCAAAAACTTAATAATCTTCTTTTTGTTCATTTCATTATATAAAAAGTACCAGTCGAAATAGTAGTATCATTAATAATTTTTTTTCCTTACCCCATGTGAATTATCTGTTCCAGTTGTAATGGTAATGTGTACAAATAAAGTAGCAAGTGGAATTGGCTCACCAGTATCACTTCGTAAACGGACATGTCGAAAACCTAAAACAGAGAAATTTTTTTATAAGAAAAGGTAAAGAAAAAAATGATTACAATTATTCGAATACTTTACATACTTATCTGATTTATGTGTGTGTGTGTGAGTGTGTATTTGTGTTACCAATTACTGATGTTTCACTATGATTAGTTACTATCTCCGTAACTAATTTCTTTGAAAATGAAATCAACACAGTAATGCTTATAACACTGTGCCGTAATTGATTTTACTTTCATTTCATATTACTATAAAGTGAAGTTTATAGTTCCTTCAACCTTACTAAAAGACAAGTAAGCAAGTGTAATAGCAACCTATCAACTAACTAGTATAGGATTAAGTGCAGTTAGGTAAATAATTTGTAAACATTACATAAAATCAAATAGAAAGTAAATAATGTAAGATCATTTTATGGAAATGTTGCTTTGAAAATGGTCTTCAATATCAAAGATGATCTAATAATGTAAGAAATTTCAAGAATTTGATTACATTCAATTCACAATATTAAGCAACTAGACAGTTCGGTTAGAATTCGCTAAGAAATATTGTATTTACATTTCCACATTCAAGAATGAATCTTCTTCATGATGTTTTCAATATTTCAAATTGTTCGAACTCAAGTTAACCTCAATAACTATCCTATTTCCCTTTGATGTTAAGGCAAATAAATAACAGACCTGTAATGCTTAAAAAAAAACCAATCTGGATCAATGCTTTTACATAAGAAGCATCAAGTGATTTCTGTCTGTCAGTGACAGAGGACAGTCATCAGGAAAATTATGCACCAACATAGGAACAAAAATCAAACCAATGGGAGATACAACCAAAACAAAGAAGTAAACAACGATAGGTCAATAAGAATCAATCAACATCGAGGTCTACAGGACAAGTCGTGAATCACATATACAGAAATTAGAACACTTCACTTCCTTTTTGAAGTTTGTGCTGATGATGTCGCTCAGAAGAACAATGAAAGCTCCACAACCAAACCATCTATCTCAGAGAACAAAACTTCAGCAAAAACAGAGGATAGTCGCTTGACTACAATTCATATCCGTCAATACTGATTAGTATTTAATAAAAGATTAATTTATATAGTAATATATTTCTCTATGATTGTTATATCCGAGCGAAGGTTAAGACATGAGTAAATTCTGAGATATATTAATTGACTAATGTTATCTATACATTTTTATGGTATAACTATTCAATAATTAGATTATGTATATTTATATTCCTCTTATGATAAGCTTCATTTTGACCTATAATTTATTATTGTACGATTTACTGTTCTTAAGCTATGTTCAGTTTGTTTACTACAGCCTCCCACGTCCAGTCACTTTTTGGCTTTATTGTGTACAAATGTTATTTCCTATTTTATGGTGCGTTGCGGTCTGTTTGATTGATATATAAACCCAGTATGTCTGAAATAAATGATTCGATTCGATTCGCATATTGGAAGCTGGTATTGTTGTTCTGGACTCGAGTAGACGGGCTAGGCGGACATAGGACCAAATAAGACGCTAGGCTGCTCATCCAGGTCAAACGTCATTGGTTTGGCACAGTGCGAAGACTGTATAAGTCGTATTTTGATTGGTGGGCAAATCAAGTGATAAAAAGCCGGACATAAAGTCATAACAATGATAACATTACTAACAAAGTATTACATTCAAGTACTTTATACACACCACACTACTGAATTACAGTTTATTCAAGTAATGAATCACAAATAAAATAACAATTTAACAATTTTGAAATGATGATTATAATTTGTCGTTGAAGAGAGCAATTTCATTGAAATCATTTTCCCTGTGGTTAATAGCTTAGACATGAAACTGTTATCATGTTTCTAGATAACATCATCATCGTAAATTGATTATTGAAGGTTCTATCTTATGTTTAAATAGATGATGTTATCTAGCAAGATAAATGAAGAAGTTTTATAACTAAACTATTTAGCACAGAAAAATCGATTTCAACAAAACTATCAATGCTTACATAATCTGAAATATTACATACCATAGTATTTTGTATTCTCTAAAATAACTTTTTAATTTATTCTTATAAACAAGAAATTTCTAACAGTTGAGATCATGAGTCAGTTGAAGCTAGACCACCATGGAAAACCTGGAAGCACTGGACGGCTGTTTCGTCCTATTGTGGGACTCCTCAGCAGTGCTCATCCACGAACCCAGGACCTATCAGTTCTGTTCAAGCACAGTTATGAGAAAATAAAACTGTAAAACGAAGTTGATTAAACGAAACACTTCAGAAGCATAAATATATGTAAGGAGATTGAATTACATTGAAGAAAGTGAACATCGTTGTCACCTGGATATACACTGTCTAGCAGTGAAACAGTATGGTATCAATGAATAAAGGCAACCACTCAGATTTATTTGATTGGTAAAACTCTAAAATTTCAAGTTGATGAAACTTTGGAAAATTCACAAACAGTTCAAAAATGTGACATTCAAATCAACATAAAAGAGTTTAGAAGCCAACGTATTGACACATATTCAATATATCAGTTTATATAGAAGGGATCAATCAATCAAATGATCAGAAATGAACTAAGCAAAACAGTTACCAAGAAGAACAAATGAAGACAAAAAATCTTATCAAGACAAATAGCTACAAGCTAGATGACCAAAATTTTTCTTGTATATGAGGTAGAGGCTAATTATTTGTTCAGGATATCAGTTATAGCTTCGCTATCTAATCGTTTACCTCAGAGAATACAACTTTCGCCTCCCTCCCACCCCCACCAAAGTACTTAACTTGGTTACAAATCTACTTAATAGTTTAAATACAATAAATTCGTAGGTTTTTTGTTACCAATTATATATAATTTAATAGTTGAATTCATGAGTCAGTTAAAGCTAGATCGCCACGGAAAACCTGGAAGCCTCCATGGGATTCGGACCCAGGACCTATCTGCCTCGCGTGTGAACGCTTAACCCCTAGACCACTGAGCTGACACCCAATGGGGTTAATGTGTAATTTCAACCAACCCACGAAATTAAAAGAGTCTCATGATAGGATGAAACAGCCGTCCAGTTCTTCCAGGTTTACCATGATAATCTAGCTTTAATTGATTCATGAATTCAACGATTAAATGACTAGATCTCCACAAACACCCTTTCTGATAATTACATACAAGCTGAATGTAATTAGAATGCAACTGATGTGTGTTTAATCAACTACAAATAAATATACCTTATCTACATAAATCCTTTAATTGTATGGTATTCCTCTCTAATCTATTGTAAACAAAACCACTAGCATTTACACAAAATGATGATAAACGGAATTATTCACATGTTTATTGATAAGAGAAAGCAACAACAAAAAGTGATGATACTTTCAAAATTGAAAGAATGTTTAGAAATCTATGGGAAGTTGACATGAATGGGGGGGGGATGGAGGAATAGTGAAGGTAAAACAAAAATAAATCCATAGTCATATGAATATTATTTTCTTATCTCTAAGGTATGAGAAACAATCATAATGGTTACAACATATTAGCAAAAAAATATAAACAAAATCTAATGATGAAAACAATTATGAAATAAATAAATAAATAGATAAAATCATAAGACATTAAAATATAGAATAAGATAAAAGAATAAAGAAAATGGTCGTCTGTTTGTCAGTCAGCCAGTAACAACGTAGAACTTCGTACGTACGTACATCAGTGCAAGTTGTTATACCACATTAGCACAGAGATGCGGTTATCGAATCAAAACCCGTAGTGGTAGAGGTGGTAAGAGTATAAGCAGAAATCGGAAGCATTAAGGTTTGAAGATGTTATTCAAAGAGTATAATCCAGTGAAGTAAATTCGGAAAGACAAAAAAAGACAAGGAAAATTTAGGAAGGACACAAAGAGTGGATGCACTTGCGCCATTGCAAACGATTTTGAGCCATGTCATTCAAGGACTATAACCATTGGTTGTTATCATCTCGTGGATCCCAATCAGGTAGTCTACACCTACCAACATGACTCAGTCCACTTGTCAGTGACTTCATAGAGTTGAACCATGTTTTGGTCTGGCCGTCCCTAGATTTCTTCCAAACTACTCCTACACCATGAAAAATATCGCACGTCAGGGTAGTTGGTGGTTGGGTCTACGTAACACGTGTCCGAGCCATCTCAACTGATGAAGTTTCACTACTTCATTAATTGATTTGCCATCCTTATTTAGTACCGGTTTCCTAACAATTGCGTTACTTATCCGGTGGTCCCGAGATATACGAGCAATGCTTCGAAGGCACCTATGATCGATAATATTTGGTTTTATAATAAATATGTTTTTTGTTATATTCTAATGAATAGACAGAATTGTACTTCTGCCGTTTAGTGACTTAATATAAGCTACCTCTTCAGGAAACAATCATTGTTTCTTGCATACTATTTAAACTTGTGTTAATTTAATGTTCGTTTATTTATTTACATTGAAGAAATGGCTTACGTTAAGTCATGAAACATTAGAAATACAATTTTTCTACTCATTGGGATAATTAATGCTCAATTTATTTGAAACCATCAAGTTTAACCTTGGGTGTTGATACCTTTTTGGCTTTTTTTTGCTTTTTATAGTATTAACTTTTACATTTGACTGGTTGAAATCATGAGTCAATTGAATCTAGACCACCATAGAAAACCTGGGAGCACTGGACGGCTGTCTCGTCATAGTGTGGGACTCCTCAACAGTGCGAATCCACGATCCCGCACCCCGCGAGATTCGAACCCAGGACCTATCAGTCTCGCGCCAGGCGCTTAACCAACTAGACCACTGAGCCGGCATCCAACGGTGTTAATGCCTAGCTTCAACCAATCCACGAAAGTGCGCCACCATACACCATTGTCTTCAGTGAGCTGATATCTCACAACAGATCTGGTTGAACTTCACTGGTAACGACTTCTAACTAGAACTCCAGGAGTATCCTCTGAAGTCAGTCACTAGTGAGCAAGTGATCACTTGATCAATTTTGTAGTAATAATCAGTGTCTTTGTTATTGCCTAGTTCATAACACTAATAGGATTCTATGAATTAAAAACGTAAAATGGTTATACTTTATTCAGTGATTCAATAAAAATGAGTATGATTTGTTAGGTGGTTCGAGATAATCAGTAGGAAAGCTTAAATTTAGGTGTCGTGTTAATTGCTGCTTGTCAAAAGGCATATCTACAATCTTGCAGGAAGTGATGGCTCCTGTGGGATACGAACATGGTTTATCTAACTTAACAGCCTGATATATTACCAGTGAACTATTCTGACTGCCGCTGATGTTTTGTTTTCTTTGTTCAAATGTTAGATATTTCTACAAAGTAATCAACAGTGAAGTCCTAGAACAGAGTTATCTAGTGGCTAGCACTCACTAAAAAGATGTATTCTATGAATCTTATAAAAATTGGAACCCAGGTAGCATAAAACTAAGGTTCAAGTTGTTGAATTAATCATTTTTAACACTTTAGCAACAGAACACAATGATCAGACCATAATTTGGTTGGTGAAGTTCGATCAGCGCTCAAGATTAGATAATATGATATTGATTATTAAGAAATGGTGAGTTAATAAAGTGATTTCAGGTTGACAGTTAGTCAAACATGACCAAAAGAGTTTATTATTTGTGTTGAACTATTGCAGAGACTCGACTCTCTATATCAACATCAATCCTATCAAGATTGCGTGTACACTCTGCAGAAGAATATTTTGGCTGCCGGAAAATCTGAAGTTTGGAGTATTTAATACAACTTATTTATTTTAACACATAGATATTGGTACAAGGAGACACCAAATACATATGCGCCACACAAATATCATTCGATATGTGTGAGGGCTGTAATACTGACCGGGTGCCCAAACCGAAGCAGGTGGTTTTCTTAGAGGGCCACGCTCGGAGCCTTCGACCTGAAAGTCTGATCCACAAGGCAGTGGAGTATCGTATGGAGATGCAGTAACATGGTAGCCGATGACCAACGATTGGTTCGTACACCAATTGTTCCTTCAGGATACTGGAGCCAGGCCATGTGCACCACTGGTTTGGGATCCGGTTAAAGCGCCGGACGTTCGCTTTTTGTCCTCTCAATTTCGTAAACAACGCCGGTGCCACGAGAAGGCAGTGAGTAGGACTTCCCTGGCAGAGGCTATATACGCGTGGTCATGTGAGAGCATTTCGAGTGGGCGAGCGGACTCTCCCCACTCTCGGCCGTACCAGGGCATTTGGGAGCAGTCGCCGGCATTTTATATAACTAAGGCAAAAAAAATGATTCTCGGGAAGCAGTTGCTTGGTTTTTGAGATATTTCTTCAACTAACTTAACTCTGTTATCATAATTTCATGAAAATATTCACAAATATAGTTTAAGATGTGAAAATTGAAAAATTCTTCAATTACCTGTAAGTAAACAATCAAATGGTACTGTATTTTGTCCTATAAAATCATCACCAATTGCATGATCATCTAGTACGACAAAGCGTACTAATGCCAGACTACCCAACTGTACACAAAATTCAAAAGTATCCTCAAATATTGCATTATAACCGGATGCACTACCAGCTGGTGCGGTGACAGTACGTTGTTCAGCACAATCCACTGGAATACCATGAATTTCTACCACAACATATGGTTCAATTGTATCCCCTTTTGAAACTGATCCCCTCGGCTTCGGTAGTTGTTGTGCACTGACAATTTTTAGTCGAAGTACCTAGATAAAATATTTCAGTGTAACTGAAAATAATATTTTATTATTTCATTTCAAATAACTTGTAATAATTAGCTCTGTCTGCAGGTGGATTTTGTTATGACTCAACACTGGAAATCAGGGAGCACAGTGAATAGCTGTTACTTCGTATAATGTGACTGCTCCGCAGTGTATACGGATGACCTCATCAAATAACGAAACTAATGCCTTCCTATCATATGCTTAAAGTTTGGACTGGTGAATTGGAATCCGATGGGGCATTGAGCCGTTCCACGGTATCGTATGTCAATCATTCAGTGACTCGGTGATAAACTTTATACTTCTAAAAATCGTTGAATAACAGTAAAGAATCTGCACCGGAATATCGAGAATCAACCTTTTTGTAAACTCCGAGTGACCAAACAGTTATGCTTAGGTGGAAGTCTGGTTAAATCATAGTTATTTATCAAGGCTTGTGACAAGCTGGAGTATCTGGAGATCCTGATTTTTATTCCTAGAGAAATTGTGGGTGCTCACTAATGCAAAGTCATATTATGAGATAAGATAGTTAACATATGCTCCTTGGTATCCCTAATGAGACTCATCAGTGACGTTGATCATTTAAAAATTACAGTAATTGCTCATTAAAGATTTCATCATTCCATCTTCATTTAATAGATCAATGGATTGCCTACAAAATACAGTATTCTATAATCATTTTTGTTTTGAATGAATTTTGATCGCTTTTACTTTCATGTTTAGTATTTTCAGCACAAATTTATCATTTCATTTCATAAAATAACTATTCTTCTCGGTCATTTGTACACTCACTAAAAAGGGGGAGGCACTATGAGTCAATCATCAGACTTGTACACCATTGGATCACGGCATAGGAGACTACAGGTTAAGCATTGTTGTGCAAGATTAAAGGTTCTGAGTTTGATTCCTGTTTGCAGGATAGATCGTGGATGTTCACCGCTGTGAAATTTCATACTAAAACATTTGGTTTACATAGGCATTCATTACTTGATTATACAATTCATAATATCAATCTAGCCAATCTATTGTGTATCTTAAGCACACAATCATACTATTTCCCTACATTTATAGCAATCCTTTCATTTAGAATGTTGAACAATTGACTTCTAATGAGGAAAAAATAGTTTCAAAAATGGTATTTAATGAATTAAATCATTATAATAAACAGTATTTTAGAAGTGTTATGCCCGATAAGAATAATGAATGGTAATTTTTGGGATCTATTTATGGACCAATACTAAACGTATATTTCTATTGTATAATTATTAAGTAACTAAACTATGCATATTCATATTTCTCTTATTATAAGCTTTATTTTGACCTATAAACTATTTCAATGGTTAAGATCATGAGTCATTTAAAGATAGACCACCATGGAAAACCTGGAAGCACTGGACGGTCGTTTCGTCCTCTTGTGGGACTCCTCAGCAGTGCGCATCCACGACCTCGCCCCTTGAGAGATTCGAGCCCAGGACCTACTGGTTTCGCGCGCGAGCACTTAACCACCACTTAACCATAAACTATTATTATACGTTTTACCATTCCTAAGTTATACCCAGTATATTATTTACTGCCTCCCTGATTCACAGCCACATCTGGTTAATTCTTGTACAAATGTTGTTTCATATTTTATTGGTACGTTATGGTCTGTTTGACTGGTATTTAAACAGAGCATGTCTGAAATATAATGATTCACATCGTAGAGGCTGAGACTTGCGTTTTGGACTCAACTGACTGGGCTAGGCAGGAAGCATGGCCTATCAAAACTCTAAGCTGCTCATAAGTCACTGCCCTCTAATCAGCAATCATAAGTTATAACAAGAATTTTATAAATAATCAAAATAAATTAATAATAGAATACCTGTGGTGTAGTATCTGGTGGTCTTTCAGTAATATTTAATAAATTTGATTTATATGGTGTAAAAAATGATGAAAATTGACGATATAAATTTGGTTTTAATACATAACCACAAGCACCATTACGTGCAAAAAATCCAGTAGCTAAATCCATAATTAAACCAGCTGTTTGATAATTTAATGTTACAATTTGTCCACCCCATGCCCATATATCTAATGGATTTAAATTACTACTATCAGCTCTAGATAAACTTGGACAAATTTGTATTAATGAATTTCTTGTTAATTGTACTAAATCCCCAGCATTAGTACCAATTGCACGAGATGCTTCTGATTCAGACATAATTATTATATAATATGGATGTAAATGTATATTATCTTGATGATATTGTTTATTAGTAGTATTATTATCATTAATAGTAGTAGTATTGTTCATCGTAATTTTATTATAATGACTTGTAATACTTTTCATATTTATATTTCGTTTATCTTTTAAATTAGAATGATCATATAAATCTAATTTAGCTTTAGATTGATATTGAAAATTTTTTAGGATCATTTTAGGTTGATGATGATGATGATGATGATGATTAGTTTCTGTATGTGTACTACCAACAATAACAACTGGTGATGTGGATGAATTATTATGTGTAGTATTAGGTGAATGATCATGTTTAACATCTCTTTTTAATCCATGAGATGTTGATAGTGTTGAAAATGATGACATTGTACGATTCATATTAAGTGATATATTAGCTAAAATAAAGAAGAATAGAATATGGCATTAAATAAATGAATATCAAAAAATGGTATATGAAATGTTTAAAGATTGTTCAATCTTGTTCTATTTCAAATTGTTTGTAATGTAAATCAATAAACTGAAGAATCTTTTGTAAGCAATGATGGATAGTGGCTAGCAGTGGAATTTAGTTTGACACGCGTTTCGTCCTATTTGGGACTCGTCAGCTGGATGTACCTCCATCTCAGATTTGATGTTCACTCTGGGACTCGAACTCAGTATCATTCGCTTCAAACGCCATCGCGTTATCCACTCAACTACTGAGTCCTCAGTAGGACGTCCCAAATAGGACGAAACGCACGTCAAACTGGATTCTACTGCTAGCCACTATCTATCATTGCCTACAAAAAGCTTGTGAATTAAGGTAATATCGAGGCATACGCACAGTATGCACATATGCCAATAACAGACTAATCAATTGCAGTCTTAAACCTCAATGGGAAGATACAAGCTAAACAATATCAACTGAAGAATCTTTTGTGTTATAACAATCATGAGCTTATTACTAACTTATTTTGAAAAGAATTCTTATAGTATTAGTGAAAAGCTCTTACCGATAGTGCTATATCTAGAACTTAGATTCTTGGTGTGCCGTGTATAACTTGAGCAACTGAACACTAGAACCCTCCCAAGTCGCAAATGAAAGTGAAAGGAATGTTATTTCAAACAGTGTCAATTATAGTACAAAACTATCAGGTATTTATAGTTTTTAGTAAAAACGAAATCATCATTATACTTATCCAATCCACACACAAGGGGGTTATTAACATTTGTCGAATAGGGAAGATACACGTGGGAATTCTGGAAATTTCTTCAAAAAGATGATTAGATGGAATGTCTTCGGCTATTTCTAAGCTTCTTAGAGTTTCCTTGAGTTCACCCGTGGATCGTCCTCACAGATAAGATTCAACTAATTCAGATGGTAGTTTCGCATCATTGGCCTTTCGACCAGGCACATATATCAATTATCTGAATCTGTGGTTCATCTGATACTAAACAGAATTATCATAGCAACGGCCAGATTATACTTCACTGATTTACTCATTAGTAGGGTAAAACTAACTTGTTTCACGACGGTCTAAACCCAGCTCATGTTCCCTATTAGTGAGTGAACAACCCAACGCTTTACAATTCTGTCATCAGTAAGTGATGAGCGACAGTTGTTCTTCAATACCAACGTCAAGGCAGCTCTACTGTACGGAGCTGAAACTTGGAGAACTACAACAACCACCATCAAGAAAATACAAGTATTTATAAATAGCTGTCTACGCAAGATACTCAACATCCATTGGCCGGATACCATCAGCAACAGCCTTTTGTGGGAGAAAAACAAACCAGCTTCCAGCTGAAGAAGAAATTAGGAAAAGATGATGGAAATAGATAGGACATACATTACGGAAATAACTAAACTGCATCACGAGGCAAGCCCTGACTTGCAATCCTGAAGGGAAGTGGGAAAGTGGAAGGTCAAAGAACACATTACATCGGGAAATAGAATCATATATGAAAAGGATGAATAACAACTGGAAAGATCTGGAAAGGTTGTCCAAGACAGGATTGAATGGAGAATGCTGGTGGTCGGCCTATCCTCCTTCACGAGGAATAAAAAGCGTAAGTATAGCATTGTATGTGGATTATACAAGTCCTATTTAACGTATTCAGTAAAATAACGAAATTGTACACTTTACTAAAACAACGTATAGTTAGTAAATTAATTACAATTAAACAACAACAATAATGCTCATCAAAATGTGAAGTTCCCTAATATTTATAACTTACATCTTATTGAATCATTATTTGTAATCTGTTCATAATTAGTTGTATCGAAGAAAAACATATCAGATAATTCTCTAATAACAGGTGTTTCTTGATGAGAAGTCTGTAACAAAAGATCAAATGTAACAAAGTTGGCAACATATTTCTTTGTTTTTTTGTCTTGGTTTCTGCTACAAAATCAATTCACTAGTATTCTTTTTTAGAATTTGTTTTACTTACCATAACCCGACTGTTGTTGCTACATTGACGTGATGGTCGGGCTTGCCTATCGTGATGAAGCAACCGAGCTATACTGGCAGGAACAACCGCTCCTCAAGGTCCTACCATGTCAGACAGGTCGGATGAAGAGCGGTAAGACTAAAAGCAACAAACCCAAGGTCCGAAGGCGAAGTCGTACTGCTGACTGTACAGAGGTGTGACAGCAGTAAGATGTTTCCTTCAGACAACCAACATGACAGCGATGCTGCCTTCCCACGGGGAGAGGTGGGGTTAGAAAAGGTCGACCATAAAAATGCACACCTCGACTTATCCCACGGATATCCGTCTCCGGCGGTAAGGTCTCAACAAGTACGGAGCTAACACAAAAATTATTCATGAAAAGGTCTTATGTGATCTGCCTCAAGCAGTTGTCCCTTGGGCACTGCGGTCACACTCTCAGGTCACTGAGACCTCCTCTAATCCAATTTTCTTTTCAGGTACCTCCGGAAGAACCCTTCGACGGTGTAGGTAACCGGGAAGTGATAACCGCCCTCATACCTCTAACAGTATTCAAGACTGACTGACTTATCATAAATACGGTTTATATTTACTGATATACATTGAAACATATTAATCAACATTTGGATTGGTTGTTTGAATCTTCTCATGGATGTTTAGGACTGTTTAGAACACTTTTAGTATATGTACATCCTATGAGGACCGCCCCAATATTACACAAAAATTATAAGCAGAGATAGATGGTGGGTAGGAATGAAATACAAGACCAGCGTTTTATCATACTTTGAACTCATCAGTTAGATTTACCTGTCCTCCAGAGTTGATGTTCACTCCGTGACTCAAACCCAATACTGTTCGCTTCAAACGCCATTGCATTATCCACTTAGCTACTAATATGCGCGTCCTGGATTTCATTTGTACCCACCATCCATCTCTGCTTATAATCTTTGTGGTTTAAGGTAATATTAATTGCAGTCCTAAAAATCATTTGGAAGATTCCAACAACAGATATAAATGAGTTAAACTTCACCACAATGCACAAACTAGTTCTTAACTGGATGCAATAGCTAAGTTAATAATAAGATGTTGTTCGAAACGAATGGTACTGAGTTAGAGTCCCGGAGTGATGCGAACAAGTACATCCGACTGATGAGTTCAAAACAGGGCGAAAAGCGCGTCATGGACTACACCGCCCCCACCATCCAATTTTGTTTATATCAATCAACAGTTTTAATTGATGTGGATAAGATCACTCATTACTTAAACTATCAGTTTACTTGTACGGGTCAAAACATGTACAACTCGACAATAGAATAGGATAGTTCCTGTTCTTATTTCTGAGCATATCCTACGAAAGCTTTAACTAAAATGGTTCTCATGTGATCAGGAGTTCGATTCCTCATCAGTAAGCAGGTGGTTTAGAACCAATTAAGTATTTCAGCATAGGAGGTTATGGCAACATGTAATTTCCACAATTTCGCATCACAAAATGACTCAAATTAGTTTAAACATTGAAATTATTAATATTATTAACTTTGATTGGTTGTTGAGCTTCTCTGTTGGTAAAAACACTGAGTGTTTCAGATCTTGTATGTTTGCTTGAGTGTAAGTTCAAAGTACAGGTGACTGGTGGTGAAAGAATTTTTAGGGAATAATTTCAGTGGAAATGATTCCAGTAAAATATTTGAGGTTGGGAAAAACGTGTTTGCTTCACTTTTTATCACTAACATTTTTCTGTAGTTTAGGTTAATGTACTCTTAGAAGTTCTGTCTTAGGTGTATGACAAGAAAAGACTAATATTTTATAACCATACGTTTACATTATTAACCAAATACACAAACTGGAGACATGGATAATTAATTAAAGGGACTAATTGCTTTATTAAATTCTGTTCAAATCAATATCACTTCCTTCTTATAAACCCAATTCGTAAGAAAAACCATGTACTATCTGAGTTTTTTAATATTCAAAACCTGACCTATGTGTTCAAAAGGAGATGGTTATTAATCTTTCGTTGCCTTAGTGACAAATACTCTTTTGCTGCATCTTAAAAAAGCTTTTTTCTTTTTCTTCAAACTCTTTCTCACATTTATTACATCAGTGAGTTTATTTCAGTTATCTCTACTCACTATACTCCTACTCATCATGTAATCACTTGTTTCTAGCCCCTTGAACTGCTGTCACATAAAGTATATAGTTACAATATTTTATTTACACCCTTGCTATACTATACGAATATGCCTTCAATATAACTTCCAATCAAACTCTTTTATGTAAGTAATTTAAACCCATTATGTAATTATAATTTTAAATATCACAGGTTGTAAGCAGCTGATGAGAACCTACGAAATAAAAATGAATTCATGCTATTTTAATAGTTGAAATCATGAGTTAATTAAAGCTAGATCACCATGGAAAAGCTGGAAGCACTGGACGGTCGTTTCGTCCTAGTATGGGACTCCTCAGCAGTGCGCATCCACGATCCCGCCCCCTCCCGTGAGATCCATGCTATTCTGCTAGACTCTTTGTTTTTGCTCTTTTCAAAATGATAAAGGGAACTATGTGTATAAAATCTTACTCTTTAGCTGTTTTATCATTTCATCTTCTTGTTGTATCCATTCATCTCAGTGTAATTCTTTTAAGATAATTTTGGATTTCGAGAATAAAACGAAATAGTTTGAGGCTACATCTTGTGATTAGCAGTGTGATCTAGCAAGATGACAATATTTAGAAATAGAAACTTGTGAATAATCTCTGTTGGATGTGTAGGGATATTTACCCAGTATAACAGACAACAATCAACATAACCTTCATTTATTAGTTAATGGCGGACCATTACTTTCAGATCGAAACAAAATAGAAGGCATTTAAGTACAATATAACCTACTGATCGTCAGCTTATTTATGTTCACAATCAGTATTCCGAGTAGATCTGATGACGTGTTTATTATACAAATGATGTTACTTAAATGGCTTCAGTAGTAAATCTTACGAAATAATGGACAAACAACTGATATTTACTGTGCTATTTTATAACAAACTGTAAATCAGATCTCTTCCAAATCACTAACTTATAATTTGATTTACGAATAAAGAAGCGACAAACAAATTAAGATAAATAAATAAAAATACCATTGACTTACATATAATGAATTAAATACACGTCTTAAATTAGGCAAACCACCATTCATCCATTTTTCTGACTCATTACCTGATGTATTCATTGTGGTACCCTTTGGTAATCGTTTACCTTGCAATAAAATACGTCCCATAAGATCACGTGGTGATGGCCATCTTACAAAAGAACCATTTGATGTGTATACTGTTGATTCATTTTTTAAATCAACAACTGTTAGACTATTTTTACGATTGCCTTTATTATTAAGATTATTATTATTCATCATAGAATGTAGTTTTGTCTTTTCAACTTGATCTTCAATTTCCAATTGTGATTCACTTAAATTAAAAGTGAATTCTGAATTTGGTAATAATAAACGATTACCAAGACAACAACGTAAGAATGTGACCAGTACACGTTGTTGTGCTTGAGTTGCATAGCATTCAATTGATACAATAACTGGATATCTATAATAATTAATGGAAAGATAAACATATCAAGAGTCATTAGAAAACGTTAGCAGTATTTAACTAGTATTAAGACGGAATACTTTTAAAAAACCTTCAAAACAATCCCTATGATATACTAATCAACTAAAGTTGATAAGCACTACTGAACGGTCTTATACTAGGATTAAATAGCCGTCCAGTGCTTAAAGGTTTTAATCATTTTTTAATCAGTCTAATCTGTAATTTGTAATAGTTTGGATAATCACGCTATTGAAAATTTGACTGAATTTTGATCTGTCTTAGTTGGCATATGTGTATCATATATGCACTATCTCGAAATAGCTCAGTCAGTCAGCTACAACGTAGGGGACTAGGCACATATATGCATCGCTCCAAGTTGCCATACCTCATTAACACAACAAGATGAACACTGGATTCGTAAAAGTAGTTAATTCGGTGGTGACAATATATAAAAGAAAGATTGCAATAAGGATATAGTACAGGAAGAAAGAATTAGTTGGTAGAAAGAAAGATATGAAGCGATTTTAATCTCTTAGTTTAAGAGAAGATAGAGAGTGTATACACCTAAGCTATTGTGATCGATTCTGAGCCATGTCACCAAGAGTCTCCAACCATCGGTTACAAAAGTCACGCCGACCCCAACCAAGTAGTCTGCATCTACCAACATGGTTCTGACCAGAATTTAGTGACTTCAAGCACTGATACCACGTTTTGGTTTGGCCGCCCCTAACTTTCTTCCAACCATCCCTAACACTGGCTAGCATTGCGCATCGTGGTAATCGGTGTTCAGGCATACGTAACACGTGGCCCAACCATCTCAATCGATGAATATCTACAATCTCATCAACTGATTTACCTTTATTCCCTAATACTCTGTATCTAACTGCACTATTACTTACCCGGTGATCCCAGCAGACGCCAGTAATATTTCTAAGACATCTGTGATCAAATACTAGTAACTTACGAGTATCTTCTACTTTTGATGACCACGTTTCACAGCCGTAAAGTAAAACAAAATTACGAAATAGCTACTATGTAAAAAGTCCATGCAGTATGAGTGAAATATTCTTAGCAGTAGAATCTAGTACTTATCAATAGTGGATTAGTGTTTAAAGTGAAAGATACTGGATTCGAATCTCATAATGAACACTAAACATAAGATTTAAGTACATCTAGATGATGAGTTCTATGATAAAGCAAAAAGAACATTATAGATCTAATTACTACCCACATCATTCCATATATTCTAATATAAATCTTATTTTTTTTCTTTTGACATTTTATTACAAATTCTTCTTTTTTTTAAAAAAAAAATTTCAAATCACTAAGGATTTTTACCTGACTACTATAGTTGTATATTCTCTTTTTTCCCAATGTTTCCCAGACAATAAATCAATACAAGTAAATAGATAATTTAAGGTTGATTGATAACCGCATAATTTTGTTAAATAAAAGTTCAAATCAATCATTTCAATAACATAATCTATACAAAAATATGTACTTCACTTAATTGGTATATATATATGTGTACCCATATCTGTTATTATGTACATATGTGCTGTTTCTATGTACCTTAAAATGTGCTTATTTATTCAAGTTGAAAAAAGTTAATTGTGTACAATTGCTTATTTAAGGATTTTCTTATTAAAAGTATTCTACCGATACTATTTTATGATGATGAAGTATCCCATAAATATAAATGGATAATTGCTGTGAACAGGGAAACAAGAAGCTCTCACAGACTACGAAAGCTGTTTTTCGGGACGTTATTCCATTCCCTCTACCCCACTTTGAACTCACGCGTACTAGCCTCAAGGTTAGATCGGTCAGCCTATTGCACCAAGGTCTTAATCTGGATTAGGCAAGTATCTTCAGCACCGAAAGTGGGTAGACAGACCAAAGGACATAACAATAATATAAAGAAACTTGTGTATCATTTTACAAAATCATTTAAAAACTATTTTTTAAAAAAACATTTCCATAAAATAAGCAAAAATGGATAGTGGCTATCAATAGAATATAATTTGATGCGCGTTTCGTCCTATTTGGGACTCATCAGTTGAGTGTGTCTGCATATGAGGGTTAACATTCACTCTGGGACTCAAACCAAGTAGCATTCGCTTGAAACGCCATCGCGTTATCCACTTAGCTACTACTGAGTCCTGATAGCCACTTGCTTGTGCAATGGGGTGAAGTTGAATTCACTTGATATTGTTTTACTTGAATGTTCCCATTGATGTTTTAGGACTGCAATTGATCAGTCTCTTATTGGCATATGTGCATACTGTGAATTTAAATTCACCTCATTTCACAAGCAAGTGGCTGTCATGACTCAGTAGCTGAGTGGATAACATGATGGTGTTTGAAGCGAGTGGTACTGGGTTCGAGTTCCAGAGTGAACATCAAATCTGAGATGGAGGTACATCTAACTGACGAGTCCCAAGTAGGACGAAACGCGCGTCAAAGTGGATCCTACTGCCAACCACCAAACCATCTTTTCTTATAAAGCTTGTGAATTACGGCAATATCGAGGCAATTTGCACGGTATGCACATATCCCAATAACAGTCTTAAACCTCAATGGAAAAATTCAAATAAACAATACCAAGTGAATTTGCATAAAATGAAATGAAAGTGAATAAAAAAAGACTGAATCTTTTGAATTGAACATTTTTAAGTGGTTTTTGTAGAAAAATTGTAAGCCGTTGATATAACATTAAAAGCCTCCAAATGCCCTGGTACGGTCGAGAGTGGTAAAAGTCCGCTCTCCCTCTCGAAATGCTCTCACATAGCCACACGTATATAGCCTCTGTCAGGGAATTCCTACTCACTGCCTTCTCTCAGCCGGGGTGTTGTTTACAATATTGAGAGGACGAGAAGCGAATGTCTGACGCTTTAACCGGGTTGATGGACATGGAGAGCCCACCTAGGGAAGTTGGAAAACCCTGATTCCAAACCAATGGTGCACATGGGCTCCAGTATCTTGAAGGAACAAACAGTGTATGAACCAATCGTTGGTCACCAGCTTCCATAGGATTGCATCTCCTTACGATGCTCCACTGCCTTATGGATCAGACCTTCAGGTCGAAGGCTCGGGGTTTGGCCTCCTAAGAAAACCACCTGCTTCTGTTTGGACACCCGTGCAGTATCACAGCCCTCACATAAATCGAATGATTTATGTGGCTTATATCTATTTGGTGCCTTCTTGTACCAATATCTATGTGTTAAAATAAATAATAATAAATAACATTAAAAACCTCTTGTCCATAATTTAGTTTAATCTAGTGTATGTTTTCTCAGCAATGGATATCTATGACACAACAGGAATTGATGACCAAACCTTCATGATTCAGGTCATTTCAAGATGAATAAATCAGATTGAATAATAAACATTTTCAACTGTAGTCAGTTTGTATTACTATGCAAACTTTGTTTATCGTTATCAATGATAATTGTCACAATTCTAACTAGAAGTGACTAAATTTGGAGTATCAGTACAGTGATTGATATGTGACTATTTAGGCAAGTGATAAATATACCATTGCGCAAAGAAGATAAATAGGTTTCTCAATATTATTCATCCACATTATTATACATAGTTTCTAAATGATGATTAACTGTTCTTTATATTTCATCCTTGAATGTTTACGATCGTTTTTGCTTCAATCATTGAATATCTTTAATGTATGAATAGTGTAGACATTGACTGGTATTCGTCTAAAATATCAAGTAAGAGTAAAAGTTTGCGACTTGTATGTTTTGAAATTCTTCAGTAATTAGATTTGTATGTAGATTGTAAACATTTGTTACACAGCTGACAGATATGATTAGCTAATAAAAAGAAAATCTAAAATACTAAGATGAAACGGCCATCCAGTACTTTCAACGTTTTCCATCGTGATTTAGCTTCAATTGACTCATGATTTCAACTAGTGAAATCTAAAATAGTCAGATATTTGGTAATAAATGTGTTTGTAGAAAATTGGTCATTTAACAGTTTAAGCAGAACATCATGTACATCATGTAAGAATTCGGCTTTTGTGTGTAAAATATATGTTGTAAGATTCGATGTTTTTCACCAGATTGGTTCGAAGTCAAACATTTTAAACAGTAATACGATACTATTCTGCAGAATGTGATACACAGTAGTGAATAATATAGAGTCGAGCATATGTGTGTATTAATCCAAGATAATACACATCATATTATTAAAATGAGAGGAGAAAATGATCAAGAAAATATATCATTGAAATTGACAAAACTAAAGATAAGAAACATAATTTTGAAGAGAAACATCTTAATTAAAGTAAAAGTAAAATTATCAGTATAGGGTTTTGGAGATTATCAAATTTTCGACTGAGATCATTAACCAATTGATGTTAGACGATCAATGAAAACATGGAAGTACTGGATGAACGTTTCGTCCTGTTGTCGGGCTCTCCAGCAGTGCGTATCCACGATCTCACCTCGCGAGGTTCAAACCCCGGGGCATATCAGTCACGCGCGCGAACGCTTAGCCTCTACACCACTAAGGCGGCAACCAACGGTGTTAATGTATAACCTCAACCAATCCACCGAATTGCGCGACCATCTTTCATTGTACTGAGGTAGATACCTGTCTCTACTCGATACAGATTAATTCCACTGATCATGGTCTCCGTCGGACCGTGAATCGAATTCAAACTTCTTCAGTTTTTATTTCAGTGTTGTTTTATACTTAATTAATTATCTCAAAACAATAGGATTGCAGAATTTGTATAGTTAAATGATAAGTAACTTCGTATTTAATTCATATCGTAAGTATAACAGAAAATAAACAGTGGTCTAGAGGTTAAGCGTTCGCGTGCGTGACTGATAGGCCCTGGTTTTGGATCTCGAGAGGCGAGACCGTGGGTGTGCACCGCCGGGGATTCCTACAATAGGACGAAACAGCCGTCCAGTGCTTCCAGGTTTTTCACGTTGGTCTGCCTTCAATTGACTCATGATCTCAACTAATAAATAATAATGATTCAACGCTCATTGTTTCAATGTTCACTAATCATTAACTTTGAACTAAAGTTTCGACTTAATGCGTTCATTTATATTTATCTGGATTGTTAGATTTATTATTATTAACATTGGATATTTATCGAAGTATTAGATGATTTGACTGAAATTCCCAATATAGTTCATTGAGTTTCAATCCAATAATCATTCAAAGCTTAACAACTTGATGAGAGACTTAAATGTCTTGTCTCCAGTTCCTGATATGTTGCTGTGTGTTTACTACCGGATAGTTTTGTTCTAAAACAAAATAGCTTTGCAGTAATCCCTGGTTTCAATTAGTGCCCTGATAGATTTTATTCAGCAAATAATACTATCTAAGGAATAAAGTTAATCTCTACAAAAATGTATAGTAGTATTAAAATAGAAGCTGAATATTTTGTAAAATTTAAATAATACTGCAAGTGTATAGAATTAACTTACTCAGAACGTATGAATGCAAAATCATGTATTGTATTTAATACAGCTTGTATTGGTATACCAGGTGGTCGAGAGTTGGCACGTCTAACAACTGGATGACCATCATGACCATCATAGACTTCAACTAAAAGTGTACATTAAAACAAATTAAGTAAAGTGAACAAAAAGTTTCATTGTTGTGAAAGTATTTGCTTACAAACAGTGGAAGGTTTATCATAAAAGTTTATTGTAATTTGACTAAAAAATTGTTAGATCACCATCGAGACCACAGGTTCTGTTTTCGAGTCACATGCGGGATCACGAATGCGCACTGCTTAAGAGTCCCATACTAGGACAAAATGGTCGTCCAGTGCTTCCAGGTTTTCAATGGGGGTCTAATATTGATCCATTTATGATATCAATCTAAATTAATTTGTGTCAATACTGAAAAAAGATATTAGCTAGGTACTTAAAGAATGTAAACGACAATTTATTTTATCAGAATGTTACATATTATAGTATATGATATATTACTATAACCAGATTTGATAAAATGGAAGAAATGAAGTATAAGGTTATTTTAAGTTCATGAATACATTTTCGTTGAACTATTATCGAAGTTAGATCGGGCATCTAAGGCCTTTATCAAACTTTTCATTTGGTTGCCATACAGAGAAGGAAACATCCGGTAAAAAACATATTTAATGATCTGAAAATGTCATTTGCAGGACTAAGATCATGATTTGCTATGAGAACAAACATCATATAAATGGTTACACCAAATCCTATTGAACTGAAAAAGTCGACATGTGCATGAAATATGAAGGAGTATTCGAATTCTTGAATCAAGAGCTTGATGACATATATGACACAAAAGTTTCTGATCCAGTGAACATTGAAAGTTCCGGTAAATGTAGATAGTAGGAAACCATAGCCGTCTAAAATTCACTATGTAGATGTTATCTAAGTAGTAATCGTAATTTAACCGCACTTAGTCTACTATTACACTGAATGATACAAATGAAATTTCCAAGAGAATATATATATAAGCGGAGATGATGTTGGTTGGCCGTGGAATTCAGGACATGAGTCTTGTCCTATTTAGGACTCGTCAGCTAGATATGACTCCATCCCAGAGTTGATATTCACCTCAAGACTGGGTTCAATTCATGAAGTAAACATCAAGTCTTAGATACAGATACATCTTTCTGACGAATCCGAAATAGGATGAAACCCACGTCAAACTGGATTCCAATGCCAGTCATTATCATCTTTGTTTATAATAGCTGTGATTTGAGGACGTATTAAGGCAATCCGTACAGAATGCATATATGCCAATAACAAACTAATCGATCACAGTCTTAAAAGTATGCTATTTTCATATTGGTTATAATAAATCTGTATGAACTATGAAAAAAGTGATTTATCTTAAAATGTTTACACATTTTGTAACCATAATAAATGTCAAAACTGTATATTATAATGGTGTATTGGCTTATTTCATTTTATAAATATCACTATGAAATGATTTAATTTTTCATGTACTGGACAATCATTTCGTTTTAGTATGGGGACTCCTCAGAGGAGTGAGCATTCACAATTATGCACATGGAATTCGTATCTAGCACCTTCGATTTCACATGAGAACGTTTGATCTCTTCTAGATCATTGAGCTAGCATCCAACAGTGTACATATTTCACTTCAAGCAATTCACACCTTATAAAACTCGACAATTTAATCGTGAATATTTCATTGTTTTCCATATTTTAACGTTTTTATTGATAGTAATGTTGTCATTACATATATGTCATAAACTATGGCGAAGGTAATTTAATTATCCTATTCATGTGAAGATGAAAAAGGTATAAATTATCAAAGACAATTTAAGAATAGTGTTTGATAAAAAAACAAAAACTTTGTTCATAGAACATATTTATCGATTAAACATAATTACACAAATCTACTTACGTTCAATATATCGACATCCTGAAAGAAGTGCTCTTTGATAACCTTCAATACTACAAGGACCTGTGAGTTGATCTTCAAGTAAAAATCTATAAGTTTTACAAAATATAAAATGTAATGAATACAGCACAGTTTATTAGATGATTTCTATATTTTGAGAATTGACATAACTGTATATAATGGGTTTAAGATTGACTATAGTTTATTATTTGAGATAAGATGATGTATTGAAAGTTAATTTGAAATAACGGAGGAGATTCGTAATTGAGAAGAATGATGTTAGATGAGATTGATTTCTCTTGTGTACATGGCTTAATCATGAAGCTTAGAGAATTCAATCTAGTCAAAATTTTCACTTACTGTTCAAATAAAACCATAATTTATTTAAACTATGAGCAATTGATTGATACAGCATGAACAGAGGAAAATCACCTAAATATTCCAGGAACATTATCTAACAACCGTTAGTGGATTGCACATTTTGTCGTATACTATCGGGATAATCTAAAATTACCAATTTGTCTTAAGAGCAGCTGTTATAAAGGTAGATATTCCACGTTTACACGTATGGGACGTTAATTTGACTTAGATGAATTTCTATACAAGATTCCTTCCCGGTGTCTATTCTACAGGACTTCAGCACACGTAAGATCAAGAACATATGATTAGCCTGACTAAAACGTAAATATATTTCCACACTAAAAGTCCGAAACAACAATGAACAATCAATAATAAGTAATAATAAGGATAGGGGAATATATAAATCATCTAACACCTGTGAAACTATCTACATTTCTGACAAAGCAGACAACCAATCCTTATCATTCTCGTCCACAAATCAGTAGCATATTTAAAACTGAAGTACATCTGGAACTCAAAACAGCTGTTAATCAATACCAAGGTAAGAATTTTCAATACAAATGTCGACACAGTTCTAATGTATGGGACACAAACTTGGACATCTATGAAAACCATCATCCAGAAGATACAGGTGTTTACTAACGGTTGTCTACACAAAATACTTCGGATCCGTTGACCGGACATTATCAGCAACAACCTACTACGGGAGAGAACAAACCAGATCCCAGGGGAGGAAGAAATCAGGAAGAAGCGCTGGAAATCGATAGAAAACAGATTGAGGAAAGCACCCAACTGCAACACAATGCAATCCCTCACATGGAATCCTCAAGGCCAAAGGGGAAGAGGAAGACCATAGAACACATTACTCAGAGAAATGGAGACAGACGTGAGAAAAATGAACAAGAATTGGATAGAACTGGAAAGGAAGGCAGAGGACAGAGTGGGTTGGAGAATGCTGGTCGGCGACCTATGCTCTACTGGGAGTAACAGGCGTAAGTAAAAGTAATCAATTTGTCTTCTAATAAAAGTTTCTAAGTAGCTTAGTTATATTGCAATTGCTCTCGTCTGATAGAAGTAATGAGGTTATTATGTGGAAATACCCTCACAACTTATACAAACTCAAATAAATGAAACATCAAGAAAAAGGTTAACTAAAAATTGGTTTATTAGAGTATCATAAATATATATGATGCTAATGTGACTGTATAACAATTCAGCAGATGATAGAAGCTGTAATAAAAGCTCCTATGTTTTGTTTTATGTTATCTAGTAAATATTCCTTTATTACTATCTTGTAAATACTCTATTCATGATGTGACAATCAGTGAAAATAGTTCAACTCCATACATTAACTGACTAAGTTGATTTAAGTTTTAAGTTGATAAGACTTAGTCATTGAATTAGTTATGAAATCAAGAATAAATAATATTGGTTTATGAATTTTAATATTCATCATGAAGTATTGTGGTATGGGTTACTTATATCCACACAAGTAGTATATAACGGTGATCAGACATAGAATGTATTTCAGTAGAAGGTCGATGAGGAAAGAACGGGAACGGAATGCAATCGGTATGAAAATGTATGAACAATGAAATCTGAGACAATGGATTGATGTTTGCAACAGGAACAGTCGAGTTTGAGATGATGGATTGATATTTTGCAAATTAACGATTTAATATATGGTTCTCAGATTTTATTGAGATGCTCTTTAATTTTGTGTTCAAATGCATTCGATCATCCCAATTCGTGTTCTTGTTCACCACAGTATAATTAGTAGTCAGAGTATTTGGAATAAATAATAAACATACTAAGTAATTTATACCAAACATCTATATAATTGGACAGAAATGATGTATCAAGTATGCAGAAGATATTGTAAGTGTCCCCAAATGCCCTGGTACGGCCGAGAGTGGGGAGAGTCCGCTCATCCTCTCCAAATGCTATCACATGGCCATGCGTAAATAGCATCTGTCAGGGAAATTTTACTCACTGCCTTCTCGTGACATTACTGTTGTTTACGAAATTGAGAGGACGAAAAGTGAATTTCCGGCGCTTTAACTGGGTTGGTGGACATGGAGAGTCCACCTAGGGGAATTGGAAAACCCTGACTCCGAACCAATGGTGCACATAGGCTCCAGTATTTATTTAGATCTGAATTGTTGAATCAATCAAACTTACGTTTTATGTGATGATGCAATGTAATAATGAGTTATTGGTTGAGACATATCTTGACAAACTTGTAGATGTACTGGATTGAATATATCACATTCTTCAGATAATAACAATAATGTAAATCCTAAAATGAAAGTAATATATTTAAAATATTAACGAGAGAATGTAATTTATGCATATTTATTCAAAATGTATGTATGTTTGATTGCTAAAATGAACATTTGGTATGTGGGGCCCTATATTTTGTCGTCATTTAGATCGGACGATGTTGTCGAAAGGGCTTTTCACTTTAGAGGCCCAAGATCTGACTCCAATTTGATCGTATCAATGATCGTTGTCGAAATATATATGTCCTGACTATTCTCGTATATCTTCATCGACTTAATCCGCATTGAGTGATTAACGGAATGAAATAAGTCAAATAACGAGAATGGATTACTGAATACATTATATTTTGTAATATGAAGCGAAGCAAAACGAGGCGCAGTGGAGATGGAGGGTAAACCAACTCCAATTAACCGAGCGTTAATCAAAATTTATCGTCACACAAAAATAGGTTACAGACATATGATGAGTAATGGGATAAGAAGTGTACACACACCCACGTGCTCATATAAAAACAGTGAAGACTGATAAGCGAATAATTTACAAGGTCAAAATGTAACTCAAGTAGAATGAATAGACTGGCCTGTCCGAAAGCTAGAATAATATATATGGGCTTAACATAACAATAGACGCTACAGGTATTTTTCGATTGTTACTATGTCATATTATTCACATCCTTATCAATAAGGCGTTTCTAAATTAATTTCTTTTTGCATTTCTGTAAACTTTGCAGTGCACATTACTGATTAAATTTAGTAAAAAGGCAATATTAAGGAAGGTCTTGACAACTTGTTCTTCCTAATATCGGACTCCTCAATAGTCAAGACTCAGTACTCTGCTAAATATCAAACAAATACAAGTTGTTAACAAGAGATAAAAACCTAAGGGTGTTGTGTAGGGTACCTGGTCGTTAAAAAGTTAAGTATTTGAGTTCTTTTATCTGTAAGGTTAGTGAATTTATGAGCTTACATATGTCTGGAGATTTTATTTATTTGTAATTGTCGATGGAACCATAGATATTCAGAGCAGTCTTTCATCAATTAACCTAAGCAGACGCCTAACTTTATCATCATGATTATAGTTGATCGGTTGGGTGTGATTACCTTCTTCTTCGGGAGCCTGCTAGATATCCGAATCAACCAAGACTAAGCAACAAATCCTGAAGTGGCTGACTATTATTCTGAGCCATACATACAGCTGAAGATGTTTTGAAAGAGATCGATACTATAGTCACAATTTATATTTGAAGATTTCTGAAGACTTAACTCGAAATTTATTGCACTGACGCAATTATATTCATTTTGTGTTTTCATATAAGCTTTAATCTTGTAGCAGTGTCATAGCATTCACCTGGAATATAGAAAGTACACACTCACGAAGACCTATATTTTTTTGAATTACTATCAGGTAAAACAGTCTTATGACTACTAAATATATCATTTTAATCCTATTAATTTTAATAATTGAGATCATGGGTCAATTGAGGCTAGACCACCATGGGAAACCTGGAAGCACTGGACGGCCATCTCGTCCTATTGTGAGACTCCTCAGCAGTGCACATTCACGACCTCGCCCCTTGCGAGATTCGAACCAAGGACATATCGGTCTAGTGCGTGAGCCCTTAACTTCTAGACCAGTGTTGGATGCGAGCTCAGTGGTCCAGAGGTTAAGCGTTCGAGCGCGAGACTGAAGACCCTGGGTTGAAGTGAAACGCATTAGGTCCAAGTTTTATTGTCAACATGAACACTTAGATGAGGTTGAATCTAAGGAATGAGTTTTAGACAGAATGAAATATATACTGGGTTTCATTAGTAGCCGATATCCAACTTTAATAAAATATTCTAAGTACTGTGCAAGGAATTCATGGAAGATAAATACAAGAAATAATGAACTCACCATCGATTCCCATTAAATTGTATTGTCGATTTTCATGGGATGGTTCAAAACGATTAATTAAAGCTTCACATTGATCACGCGTTAATCCAGTCCTCTACATTTTAAAACAAGACATAATAATTAAGTAAAGTATGTGAAATTAATAAAGATAATAGAAAACTGACATTTAGTACCAGGTAACATATAGAAGAGGTATAAGTACATTGTGTAATATTTATATCAGAGACTTTAGTAGGGTTTGCTACTCTCTTATGAATAATAATGGGTCTTTGAATCTTTCCTACATCAACGTTTATGTGCAGTAACATGGGGTACTGATTGTATTGGTTATTAGTGTACATATTCACGAATGCACACCTATATATGATACATATGCTTAAAATAAAAAAAACGTGTTTGGCTTGGATCTGTGCATGGGTCCCGATGATTTAGTAACACAAAGCGGGATCTAATAGGGACATTGAATTGTTTACTGAGGTTAGAAAAGAAAGAAGAGAGCTGTCGAGATATGGATTAATAGGTGGTATCTCTTATTTGAAGATATGCTTCAATGTCCTTTATATGAAAAAACAAACAAGTCAAGAACAGACGACCGTACTTTACGAAAAACTGACTTTATTTAAACAGTTGGTAGAAACAGCGAGTCAAAGGATTTCTCGTCGTTTATGATGTGGGAGATCATTGTTATGTAGACATACGTCTTATAGATATAAGAATCTGTAGATATGTGTGTTAAGTTGAACACAATGTTAGATTCAAAAAAGTGATCTGAATCATATAAGGATGACAGTTGAATCAAGATGAATTTATTTCGTCTTATAATGTATTAATTATATGTGAGACATTAACAACTTACTGAACAAGACTTAAAAATATACTTCATGTACACCATGAAAGAAACTTACACCTTGTTCGCTTTCAAAAAAATTCTTTAAATCTTCTGCACTCAAATGTTCTGATCCACTGGAATACCTAGAATAATTGTTTTAATAAATGATGTTTAAATAGTGATTCAATGAGAAAAGATTGTATGATAAGAGATTTGAAACATATCTAATAAGTAATAACAGAATAATTATTTGTAAAAGAGTTCCGTGTACTCGAATCGTTTGCCCTAGAGGTGCGAGGTGATAAAGAAATGGGAGAAGGGTTAGTCGAGGAGTTGTTAGGAGGTGTAAGAAGGGTTTGATCGTGACCAACTTAGTCTCGTATGCTGTTGATTGATTGTTTATCCTGTTCATTACGTATCCGTAACTTATTTTTGATCTGACTATAAATTATTGAGTCATTCTTGGTTAAATCTAATTAGTTCATTCATCTTCTCCGTTAGGCGACATTTCTCCCCACTTCGCTTCGCCTTCTTCTTTTTGCTTCCTTCGCTTCGTCTTCCTGATTGTCTGTTCAGATCAATGAGAGTATGAAGCATACGTATTCAAGCTTCATCCTCGTATTTGACTTATGTTTGTTCCGTTATTCACTAACTCAATTCAAGTCGATAAAAATATATAAGGGTTGACGATAACAATCGTCATCATCCGATCTAATTAGAGTCAAATTACTTACTTACTTACGCCTGTTACTCCCAATGGAGCATAGGCCGCTGACCAGCATTCTCCAACCCACTCTGTCCTCCGCCTTCCTTTCTAGTTCTATCCAATTCTTGTTCATTTTCCTCATATCTATCGCCATTTCCCGGCGTAATGTATTCTTTGGTCTTCCTCTCCTCCTTTGGCATTGAGGATTCCATGTGGGAGCTTGTCTTGTGACGCAGTTGGGTGCTTTCCTCAATCTGTTTTCTATCGACTTCCAGCGCTTCTTCCTGATTTCTTCCTCCCCTGGGATCTGGTTTGTTCTCTCCCATGATGGCTTTCGTAGTTCTCCAGGTTTCTGCCCCATACAGTAGAACTGTCTTGACATTTGTATTGAAAATCCTGACCTTGGTGTTGGTTGACAGTTGCTTTGAGTTCCAGATGTTCGTGAGTTGTAAATATACTGCTCTTGTTTTGCCGATCCGCGCCTTCACATCTGCATCAGATCCACCCTGTTCACCAATGATGCTGCCCAAATACGTAAAGGTTTTTACATCTTCCAAATCTTCTCCGTCAATTGTGATTGGATTGGTGCATTCTGTGTTGTATCGGAGAATCCTGCTTTTCCCTTTGTGTATATTGAGACCTACTGCTGCTGAGGCTGCTGCCATACTGTTCGTCTTCTCCTGCATCTGTTGTTGCGTTTGGGATAGAAGGGCCAGATCATCTGCGAAGTCTAGATCATCGAACTGCATCTTAGATGTCCATTGTATCTCACGCTTCCCTTCAGACGTTAGAGTCAAATTGGGGCCTCTAAAATCTTTATGTACAAGTCAATTATGTTTTGGATATTGTTTGAAAATGGAATCCATGATACATTTTTGGTTCTATTTAGGAATTGTCAGCTAGATATAATATACATCTCAGTTCTGATATCTATATTAATTCTCGTAAATATTATCTATAAATTCAATATTCGCACCATTATTTACTATTTTTTGTAAGTTATGGTTGTCAACAAAGTGTTCAGGAGGTATACTATTTTAAGAAAGAATATAACTGATTAAATTTAGGCACATCCAGTTGATGAGTTCAAATAGGATGAAACATACGTTTTAGTTTCGACAATTGTAATCTACTTGACATACAATTAACACTAAGACAATATAAAACTGTTACTAGTTGGTATTCTTTAAGAAGGAAATATATTTTGAATTTTGCTGAGAACTGATGAACTTTTCATGATTCAAATAGATGTCAACGATTGTTGTGATCAAGTATTACTATTGAACTATTCAAGACATCAATTAACTAAGTAAAAGAGAATTCAGCGAAGAAAATTTTCTTTTGAACGAAATTATTTACTTAAGCTATGCATTCGTATATATATATAGTTATATGAAAAATGTATGTCCATTCAGGGAATTAGGGCCAGGGAAGGATGAGAAGGGAAAAAAACGTCAGTCCAGTGTCTTTTAGTTCTCAATGATTCTTCAATTATTATCAAACAATGACAAAAACTAACTTTAATAAGTGATTCTTGTTGACAAATGTATTTGTTAGGTTCAGAAAATGTTTTCCATTTTAAATGAAGTGTATTCGACTAAACCAAGTCATATGTATGTACGCGGATTCATATATATATCTTAAAAAATTAAGGTTATCAGTAGTTTGTTTCGTCTATTAAAAAAACACATTTCTTTTTCATATATAGATGACTGATCACTGAGTAGTGACTACTGTTATTATTTACTAGTCTTTCAATGTTGATTGAGTTCTGGGTAGTAAATTGAAACGTGGTTATGAGCAGGAGTGACTTAATTATGTGTTTTAATGTTAACTGGTTGGTGTTAGTCAGCAGGATATTTTGGATTTTAATTTTATGCTGATATGTACTCCTCAACTAGTTGTACCTAGTTGTACCCTATGAGATTCGTATTCTCGTCATTCATGATTCTTTGAGCTTATAAGCTGACTTATAGATTTGTATACTTATGGTTATTATCAGTGATCCAATACGTACATTTCTTCCTATTTGAGACTAATCAACCAAGTGTTATTCCATTACAATGTTGATATTCACATTGATAATACAAGTACACCTAACTGGCAACTCCCAAATAATCCATCAATTTTAAATGAATTCTTAAATTATGACTATGTAAATATAATCTTTAAAGGATATACATCTACCAACTAAGAATAATGTGATTTCAGTCATGAATATCATCAATGAGATCATTTAAACGCTAAACAATTTACTATGGTATTGAATAAGAAAAAGAGAATTCAGTAATGAAAATTTTCTCTTCTCGACGAAATCATTTACTTAAACTGTACATTCGTATATATAGTTATATGGAAAATGTATGCCTGTAGAAGGATAGGAAGGACTGTACTAATCAAGGGGCAAGGAAGAACAAAATGTATGGGTCAGATATGAAGAAAAGCGACAAACAACAAAGGTCATAATAATTTTCTTCGCTGAATTCTCTTTTTCTTATTCAATGACACTATGGGTTATTTTAATCATCAATTAACTCTTATGACAGTGAGATATTTACACTGACTAAACACTGGTTAGTAGTCAATATTATGTTTGTTTAATAAATAGTACTGCTGATTGAATTCGATAGATCAGGTTTGATTCATTTGATAGGAAAATTCTTTTACCCAGTGAAATAATAATAATGAATCAAACGTATCAATACGTTGGGAAAAGTGGTCTATGATTAGTACTAGTAATGATTAAGAGTTACAGTATTACTTATACAATGCTCTAGAATATTAAGATTAAATAGCTACAAATGTCTAGATATTGTTTAGATCAGAAAGATACATGAATGTATATTGGTTTGAAGGATGCACAATAAACAGATATTTTGTTAAGGTATATTTGACAACTATTTTATTTTACCGTTGTTGAATTCATGAGTCTATCTAAGTTAGACCACCGTTGATAACCTAGAAGCACTGGACGACCGATTGGTCCTAATATGGGACTCCTCACCAATGGGCATCCTTGATTCTACTCGCCAGACTGTTATGTTTTTTTTTAAAACATCTTAGCCTTTTCAATCATTAATTTTATTGCATGATGTATCAGCCAAATATGGTACTATTAAGGGTTTATACTTCACTTTAATGTAGATAGATTTTAAAGTACTGATGTTCTGGAGTTCTAGCTAGGGGTTTTGTTGATACACAGTAACTTTGATATGTCTAAATGATTAATTAAGATAAAGTGAACTTGCTTTAATATTTTATTATAAGGTAGCTTAGAAAAACCAGAAACAATATTTTTAAGATAGAATTATTAGTAACCAATAATTATAATTGTTATATCCCGATAAGAATAATGAATGGTAATTCTTGGGATCCATTTATGGACCAATACTATGAGTATATTTTTATTGTATAATTGTTAAATAACTAAATTATTCATATTCATGTCCCTCTTATTATGAGTTTTATTTTGACCTATGAACTATTATTATACGATTTACCATTCTTGAGTTATGGCCTGTCTATTAATTACTATCTCCCTCGGCGGCCTGCTTGAAAATCTGGGCTACCTGTTTCTGCCATCTGAATAAAGCCATTAATAATAATAATAATAATAATAATAATAATAATAATAATAATAATAATAATAATAATAATAATAATAATTCACAGCCACATTTGGCTAAATCTTGTACAAATGTTGCTCCCTATTTTATGGCACGTTGTGGTCGGTTTCATTGATATATAAATACCTTATGTTTGAAATAAATGATTTATATCGCAGAGGCTGAGACTTGTGTTCTGGACTTAACTGGCTGGGCTAGACAGGGAGCGAAACCAATCAGGACTCTAGGCAGCTCGCAGTCATTGTTCCGATCGATAAGTCGCTGCTCTCTAAGAGGCAGTGTCGTTGCGTTATCCAATATACAGGGTACACAGATTCACAAGTTATAACAATAATGATATTATTATTATTATTATTATTATTATTACTAATGGTTTTATCCAATATTAGATCTTTGGTATAATATAGAATTCTCAGCACAAAGTATTTCAACAAGTTTCCTCTTCTTATTTCTTGATAGATCCTGAAAATAAATACTGAGTGATCGGCCAGTTGGATGTTAACAGTTCAAGATTCAACATATCACGAAACGAGCAAGGTATCAGTGTCGTGGATGTTCACTGTCAAGGAGTCTCATACTAAGACAGGAAAGCCCTCTTATATTTCCTCGTTATCAGTAGTTGTTTAAATTAGATTTATTCGTAATTTCAATGAAATTCAATCATTTCCACACAACACGAATAATTATGTAGTGAAATAATAACCATTAGATATACATCATTCTTTTTTTTGGAAGAAAAAAACGCTTACCTTACAAGAATGTAATAAATCTCTTGTCTGGTAGCAACTTTCTTAAAAAAATTTACAAAATCATCTTTAGTTATTCCAGTTTTATGACATCGAACTTTACTCTCCATCTCCTATAAAAAACAAAAAGGAGGTATATCTATATAAATGAAGAAATTCTAAGAAATTGAAAATATCATACTTAAATGGTCTGCAGACAGGAACGGAAAAAACAAACAAACAATAACTTATCGAATCTTACATTGTGTATAATCACTAGAACACAACCCAGATAATAGTTGTCAAGTATTTTGTCCACTACTTAGTAACTACTACCCAGTAATGGTCATACAAACTTAATCTCTAATGAAAACATTTTACATTTCAAAATTAAATCATTAAAGATTTGGCAGAATGTTTTTTTTGAAAATCCTTTCCTTTCAATTATTTAACAGACAAGATTTCAAAGAAAAAAAAGAGACAGAAACATGATACCTTTCATATCATCATAACAGTTTCAATGATGGTTTTCATTATCATGTACAAACGCACACACACACGCACGCAAGCACTCATACACATGCACACGCACACACAAACAAACACATCGATATACAAGTGATAATATCTTTCTTTTTATATCATTGATTTGTTTTTCAAATAAATAAATAACACAGCAAACAGTAACTAGATCAGATGACACTTAACAACAACAAGTAATAATAAGGAATCAATCGAATTACCGGTTTCTACATACATACATGCATACATACATACATTGAACTTGATCTAGTTTTTTCTTTATCAAATCAATCAATAAATTTGTAAAAATGTTTTGTTCATGTGATAATAAACCAAAAGAGTGAAAAGTGGAAAAAAAGTTTAGTTATAGTTACTTAGTTAGCTAGTTATGTTTTAGTCTTAAATTAGTTAAAATATTTCAAAAGCCATCATCCAGAAGATACAAGTGTTTATTAACAGTTGTCTACGTAAAAACTACTTCGGATCTATTGGCCGGACATTATAAGCAACAACCTAATATGGGAGAGAACAAACCAGATATCAGTGGAGGAAGAAATCAGGAAGAAGCGATGGAAGTGGATAGGACACACATTGAGGAAATCACCCAACTGCGTCACAAGACAAGCCCCAACATGGAATCCTCAATGCCAAAGGAGGAGAGGAAGACCAAAGAACACATTACGCCGGGAAATGGTGATAGACATGAGAAAAATGAACAAGAATTGGATGGAACTAGAAAGGAAGGCGGAGGACAGAGTGGGTTGAAGAATGCTGGTCGTTGGCCTATGCTTTATCGGGAGTAACAGGCATAAGTCAGTACGTAAGTAAGTATCAAAATATCTACTAATTTTGTATTTACTAGAAAGTTATTTTATAAACTTTTTTTTTCAAAATACTATTTGTTTTTTTGGCTTCCTAAAATTCTGAGAAACCAATGTATAAACCGAGTTATGAATAATACGAAACATTCATTGATTCAATTCATGTGAACTCATCTCCATGCGAATACATATTATCAAGTATTATGATCATAGTTTTTAAATCCAGTGAGACTATAATTTATGGACGACCTTTGAGCGACGCTAGATTGACCTTGATAACTAGGACCATATGAGAGTTATAAATTGATGTGAAGAATTCGAATTATGATTTACAGTTGTTAGTTAAGGATAGAAATTAGATTTAGGGTTTTCATCATGAACTGACATCAGCTATAATTTATTATTTATTTTAACACATATATATATTAGTACAAGGAGGCACCAAATACATATGCGCCACACAAATCTCATTCGATATGTGTGAGGGCTGTAATACTGACCGGGTGCCCAAACCGAAGCAGGTGGTTTTCTTAGGAGGCCAAACCCCGAGCCTTCGACCTGAAGGTCTGATCCACAAGGCAGTGGAGTATCGTAAGGAGATGCAGTCCCATGGAAGCCGGTGACCAACGATTGGTTCATACGCCATTTGTTCTTTCAGGATACTAAAGCCAGCCCATGTGCACCGTTGGTTTGGAATCAGGGTTTCCCAACCAAATTCCCTAGGTGGACTCTCCATGTCCAGCAACCCGGTCAAAGCTCCGGACATTCACTCTTTGTCTTATTAATTTCGTCAACAACACCGCCACGAAAAGGCAGTGAGTAGGGTTTCCTTGGCAGAGACTATATACATGTGTCCATGTGCGAGCATTTGGAGAGGTAAAGCGGATTCTCCGAACTCTCGGCCGTACCAGGGCATTTGGGGGCCTAATCTCTATTTAACCAAATGGATGAGTTGATTTCGCAACAAGACCTGAGACTTGTTATCTTATACCTGATTGGTTCGTCCATAAGTTTTAGTTTTGCCTTAAATTCTATTTAATTTGTATTCAAATTTTTCTGAGAATCAATTCACATATGCATATATAAATATCATATGGTACAAGTTTTCAGCAGTATTATTCCCTATATCTTTTCTGAGTTCAGTATTTAAAGAATAAGTGAAGCCTTTGCTACTGGAAAGAAATGAGTATGGAAAGTTATAACTGTGTGCAAATCGAACTTTGATGCATTAATACAATTTGTAGTGGTATTTGATCTGAAACAGATCAACATTTAGTCCTTATATTAACAATGGAATAATTTAAGACCATAACAAACATATGCCCGTGGGACAGGTGTGTAGGGGCTGGTACTACGTCAAGCCCACATAGATTATTTTAGCTTCTGGATAGATCAACCTATTCATTCTTCTCGAACTAAATTTTGATCTTGTCACTTGTTCGCTTATAAACTGACTGTTTTTATGTAAGCACATATGTGTGTACTCCTTATCTTACTGATTACATGTCTGTAACTTATTTTTGTCTGACTATAAATATCAATTCAAGCTTGTTTACACTAAGTTGATTTACATGCTTTTTTCCATCGCGTGTCACTTCGCTTCGGTTTATTCGCTTCTTTTCTCCGATAGACTGTCTGTTCAGACCAACGATTGTACGAAATATATTTATATATATTCAAACTTATCTAATTCCGTTATTCACTAACGCGAGTTAAGTCGATAACAATATGCGACGATTGGAGAACAATCATTCATACGATCTACCTGGAGTCAGATATATCGGGCCACTTAAAATGAATGGCTAGCTGGACTTACTAGCTAAGTGAATAACAAGTTGTGTGTTTGAAGCAAAAAGCATTGTATTGGAATCCCGGAGTAAACATCAACTCCGAGATGCAGGTACATACTGTTAGCAGGATAGAACACGTGTCCTAGATCTAACTAATAGCCACATTCATCAATTTTATCCTAATTACTTTCTATACTTTGTTACATTTTCCCATGTCAATCATTTATCAATAGGGTAACATTTATTTTCTAAATAATCCCATTATCAACATACATTTCATAGAGAAGTCGATAGTGTTGGTATTTCTTTAACACATTCTCCTAGTTAAATAAAACAAAAAAGAGATGTGGGGGAAATCTGTTATCATTTTCTCCTTCTATGTTATTTTATTTTTCGTATTTCTTAGGATCCGATCTGTAACTAATGATAGATAACTACATATATTTAGTACTAATATTTTGACTTAAATATCACTAATCATAACAATCATTCTTACTTCATATTTACTGTAATAATGTTAATGTAGCGAACAGAACACCAGTGAGGACAATCGAATGTCTTAGAACACGAAATTACAGAGTATCTCACTAAAATCTGAGAACCATATAATAAGTCGTTAATTTGCAAACTGCTAATCCATCGTCTCACATTTGACCGTTCGTTTACACATATCAGTCCATTGTGTCAGATTTCATTATTCATACATTTTGATACTACTTGCGTACCGTTTCCATTTTTTCCTTATCGATCTTCTGCTGAAATATATTCTATACCTGACCACAATTATATACTACTTATGTGGATATAAGTAACCCACACAAACAATTATACTACAGGTTGCCTTATTACGAATAATCTTAATATTTGGCAATATCAGAAGCAACTTAATAGAAATCTCTAGTGTATAGAACATAATGTGATTACATTCTTTTGTTAATCAACAAGTCTCTAATTCATATAACCATTGTATATTTGTGGTACATTTTTAATAGGCTCAGTGATTGAAAAGAATTATATCGAACAATTTGATTCGAGTTTATCTAGGCAAATAGTATAAAAGAAACTTGTACAAGATTGATTGAATAAAACAGTTAAACTATTCAAAACTTCAATTCTTTGATATGATTAGAAAGAAACTTGTTCTATTCTCGGATTTATTTTATATACCTAAGTGATACATTCTATGAAATCGTTTGATTAAGTTTAAATGAACGATTATATGAACGAATATAGCATGAGAATAGGATGTGTTAACTTTAAAATTTGTGGTGTCGGTTATTATGTTAAGCCTATATATCTTATTCTAGCTTTCGGATGGGCCAATCTATTCATCCTACTTGAGTCATATTTTGACCTCGTTAATTATTCGCTTATCAATCTTGACTGTTTTATATGAGCGCGTAGGTGTATGTACACTTCTTATCCCCTTACTCATCATATGTCTGTAGCCTATTTTTGTGTAACTATAATTATTGATTAACGCTTGACCAAAGGGGAGTTGGTTAACCCGCCATCTCCAACGCGCGTCGTTTCGTTTTGCTGTCTTCCATTCGCTTCATATACAGAATATATGCATTCAAAAGTCCATTCTTGTTATTTGACTTATTTAATTCCGTTAATCACTCAATGAGGATTAAGTCGATGAAGATATACAAAAATAGTCAGGACATATATATTTCGACAACGATCATTCATATGATCAAATTGGAGTCAGATCTCGAGCCAATAAAGTGAAAAGCCAGTCTACAAACATCGTCCGATCTAAATGACAACAAAATAAAGGGCCCCACTAAAAGTTACATGAAAGTGTCTATAGTTGAGTTCGTGAACCAGAATTCATTATACTGCAATTAACTAACTAAAATTAACCACATCAACAACATCGGTTCATACATGTTCATTCAAAAAAGCATTACAGGCAGCTTTAGGTGTATAAATTAGTCTCATTTTTTTATGGTTAACAAAACTACTTGATTTCTCAGCTCCTTGAAAAGTAGTTGTTTAGAACAAAGTCAATTTTCTTTCTTACATAATTGAAATAGACTTAAATCGGGAATATTGACTTATCTAACAGCATGAACGTAATATTGTAGTGAACAAGAACACGAATGAGGACAATCGAATGTATTAGAACATGAAAAAAAATATCTCAATAAAATCTGAGAACTATATAGTAAATACTGAATTTGCAAAATATCGATCACTTGACAGTTTCTTTTACAAATATCAGTCCATCATCTCAGATTTCGTTGTTCCTGTATTTTCATATTAATTGTTTTATGTTCCCGTTCTTTCTTTCTTGATCTTCTACTGAAATACATCCTATTCCTGACTTTCATTATATACTACTTATGCGGATATAAGTAGCTCACATCACAATATGAATATTGAGACGCCTAACGGTTTTGAGTTCGGTCCTTAATGAGGGATTATAGTGGAACATTTCTGAAAAATCCCTAAAACCGAAACACCTTCATACCTCTTATTCAATCATATTCTAAACAATCTTGATCCATGAAGTAAAGATACAATCATTAAAATTACATAAAGCTTTTTTTAATTGTTTAATCTTCAATGAAATAATTTTAATGACTTACTTTTAATTTATGCCTTAAATGTATCGATGATAAACTTGGATTAATTGATCGAATTAAACGAATCACTTCAAATTCACTTAAGTATCCTTGATTAGTTGAATCAGCTTCATGAAACAAAATTTGTAACCATCTAAAGAAGAAAAAAAAACAGTAGTTTTAAAATAGAATATGAATGAAATAGAATATTACTGCTTTACAAAACAAAGTGATGAGGTTATGAAGATTTGAAACAATTCCCTAGTAGACATCTTGACATCAGTTTGAATAAAAGAAAGAATATGGAATATGAATGAGTTGACTTCTATTAATTATAATTGAAGTAGTCTTGAAAATTTCGTCAATTTATTGATTATGTGCTTATTAGTGATCACCTTCAAAAATGTTCCTTTCTATGCACTTCTATGATAAGGTTTCTAAGTATTAAAGTGAACATGATGTACATGAAGAAAATTTCTCATTGAATTATTCCAATAAAACTCATTAATTGCTAATTCATTGTGGTTTCCCCGCGCGGGTTCGAATCCCATCCCCGTCGCCAATTGTTATAGTTTGTTCCCGGTGTCCTGTTAAGGTATAACGTAATGATAACGCTAATTAGAGAAAAGTGGGTTATCGATTGGACCAATGATGCATAGAACCCGTACCAGCAGTCTAGTATCCTTATCGGTCCTGCTTCTTGACTAGCCCTGTCTGTTAAGTACAGAACACAAATCTCAGCCTCTGTTATATGAATAATGTATTTCGTACATACTGGGTTTATATACATACCAAACAGACCACATCGTCCCACAAAATAGCAAACAACATTTGTACAAGATTTAGTCAAAATTGGCTGTGAATGTGGGAGATAGTAATTGATAGACAGGACATAACTCAAGAATGGTAAATCGTATAATAATAGTTCATAGGTCAAAATAAAGGTTGTGATAAGAGGAACACGAATATGAATAACTTAGTTACTTAACAATTAAACGATAAGAATATACGTATAATATTGGTTCATAAATGGATCCCAAATGTTACCATTCATTATTCTCATCCGGATATAACATGCTTATTACAATTGTGTGCATTTTATAGTCGTGATAGAATAGAATAAAGTATTTAACATTAATTTTCTTGTTTTCAGTAATTATACTTATTATGTAATTTTCTAGCTTGATGATACATCGTCATTTTGACGGATGTATAACTTATTTTCACAGTTGAATTCAAGAGTCGATCTACACTAGACCACTATCAAAAACCTGTGGGTACTGGACATCCCTTTCATCCTAGTATGGAACTTCACATCAGTGCGTAGCTGTAATTTCAAAAGCGGGACTCAAACCAAAGGTTTTTAAGGATTGTCAAATATAGCATCACGAACTATTCTTAGTTAAATAACCATTGAAAATCAGAGAGCATTGGATAGTTAACTATAATATAACGATTGTTATAGAAAGTATGATATTTACCAGTATGAAAATAGAATTTCAGTTTAAAAAAACACACATCAAAAACAAACTGTCAGTTACATACTGTAAAACCTAACAAAATCAGAAGTCAGTTTTCAAATCACAGAATAATTGTGATCATGAACCGATTGATGTAATGCCATCAATAAAAACCTGGAAGCACTGAAAGAATGTTTCGTCCTATTGTGGGACTCCTCAGCAGTGCGCATCTACGATCCCGCCCACGGGATTCAAATCCAGGGCCTTGAGTATCGCGCGCGAACACTTAACCTCTAGATCACTGGGCCGGCATTCAACGATGTTAATGTCTAACCTCAACCAAACCATGAAATTGCGCAACTAATTGTTATTGTACACATAAGGGGGCCTTAAATTTACGAATAGCCAAGGCTTCAATAAACTTGTAAATTCGTCCTTGATAATTTATATACAATGTGTTAAAAGAGGTATTAATGTCAATTTTGTGCCCCGTTTCAATTATATGTCTCACTGTCGATGAACATGGTGCTTTACCTCGCCCACATTGATCGGATTACTTTTACAGTCAACGTCATTATCATCTTTTATACCATCTGTAGTATCATTAATAGCTTTACATTCTATATTGTTATTATCGTTCATATTCAGCATTCATTATTTCTATCCATTTAACCTTTCTTCATTTTCAAAAATTTTTTTGCTTTGCTAACTATTAAAAGAAAAACAATTTTTTTCATGATGTTTATGTACGAAAACAAAATGGATGATCCTGGTGATAAGACAAAAAAATAAAAGTATTTGCCCAGTATGATATCAATTTAGCTATTTTTTTTCATTTTTTGTCTGATTTTTGTATCCTACCACTTGTAATAGTTAAGTAAGATGATATTAAATAAAATTTACTTTGGTTAATTCCATGAAAGAGAAAACAATCATTACAATAGTTGAAATCATGAGTCAGTTGAAGCTAGACAATCATGGAAAACTTGGAAGCATTGGATGGCGGTTTCGTCCTAGTACGGAACTCCTCAGAAGTATGTATACACGATCCCCCCCCACGAGATTTGAACCCAGGACCTATCAGTCTCGCGTGCGAACGCTTAACCTCTAGACCAATGAGCTGGCTGGCATCCAATGGTGTTAATGTCTAACTTCAACTAATCCATTAAATCGCGCCACCGTACAATATTGTCTTCAGTGAGCTGATATCTCACAACAGACCTAGTTGAACTCTACTAGTCACGGCTTCTCAATTGACTCATGATTTCAACTATTGAAATTACTAAAATCTTCACAAAACCCCTTCTGAAAACAATCACTAGTTAATACAGACAAACATTTACATATTATGCAGTTGAAATTACAGAAAAAAAAATGAATAATTTAGGGAAATTATGTTAAAATGTCAACTCCGCCTGAAGCCCCTCTGAGGCTATTATCGGTCCCAAGCTCGGATAAAGGAGGAAGGTTGGGCATAGGACTAGTGACCCTATCCCGTAGAAAACTAACTCGCTGAAAACACGTTAACCAGAAAAAGTAGAAAAGATGTTAAAATGTTTAAAAAGAATTGAAACTCAGGTAGATGAACTTCTGTAGTATGATATGCAGTCTTTCCTTGAATGATTGAATTACAGACATCTCTGTTATAACCCAGTAAAGATTAAGTTACAGGTGACTTCCGAGGACTGTTAGTAGACTAATATTCTATAAATATTCTTATTGTATAATTATCCTATAGTTATCATATTGTCTAATGGTGTCCTTGGACTTTAAATGAACATTTCCTATTAGCCAATATTTATTTCACTTGTCAAATATTGTACAAATGTTGTTTTCTATTTTATGGTACGATGTGGTTTGTTTGATTAGTATATAAACCGAGTATGTCTGAAATAAACGATTCGATTCGATTCATATTATAGAAGCTGGTATTGTGTTCTGGACTCAAGTGGAGGGGCTAGAAGGACATAGGACCAATCAGGACGCTAGACTGCTCATACCGGTTGAACGTCGTTGGTTTGGCATAGTGCGAAATTGTATAAGTCGTATTCTGACTGGTCGATAAGTCGCGTGATAGAAAGCCAGACATCAAAGTCATAACAATCTCATCATCATTATTTCGGACAAGACATCAGTGCTTGGTTCTAGGAGATGATGAGGATTTTAACGCTTAGTTAAGTCTTTTATCAAGCTTAGATTCATTTGATGAAGGATAACATCGGTTGTGGGAGTTTTGAATAGTTGTTTTTTTTATGTCTTATTACTACTTGTTAACCCTTACCTATGACTCTACTAGAAATTGAACTAAAGATTCAAGTTTAAGATCTCGCAAAGAGAGTGTTATGTTTCAATCAATGAATGGAGTGTTAAAAACTATTCCTTTTTAGTGAAATCTGTATCTCAACCACTCATGTATTTTACTAGAATAAAAATATTTCGATTTTTTTTTCGAATCTTCTAACATTCAATATTGTAAACTAATGTAAAAAAGCAAATGAAATCTTCTTAGTTTGTTATTATTAGTCTTTAAAACTCCACATGGTAGATCGTGTTCTAATGAAAGATTATGCGAATAGGTCATATTTAAGTGTTAGATACCTAATGGAAAAGAATTATGTAATAGATATATATTTCCATGAAATATTATTTTCCTCATGAGCGAATCCAATACGATAAACGACTTATGTACTCAAGAGTTTAGAAAATGTAATAACAAATAAACTTATTTAATGGGTACTTGGATAATGAGCCATACTCTAATTGTCAAGAATAACGACACAATCCGGTTGTCTATGCAGAAGTAGGGAGGGTGGAGAATTTGAAAAAGAGAGTTAGTGGCTAAAAGTCAAACGCCGTTACTCGAATCAAAACTTCTAGATCTTGGGTTCTAATTTTATTGACAGTCTGAATCCTTTCTGTTAAAGAACCCTACACGTAGACAATGGCTTCTTTTCTTTATTTAAGACAACGATTTTGAGGTCGTACACCCTAGAGCTCATACCTAAAAGAAGATAGCTATTAAGTCCTTCACAAATATTCTTATTGATTCTGGTTTTCGATGGATATTACCGATAGTTTATTTTTCTTACTTATTTAAAAGTTTTATATCACAGATTGATTGCGGTTAGAAAACTATTGAAATCAGGAATTCCCAAAACAGCTGTTTATTTCTAAAATGATGACCCTCAACAGAAGGCTTGTATGACTCAACTTGAAGTAGAGCCTAGTAATTTCATGACCTTATCATATTGTAGACATGAGATGCAGAAAGCATCATACTACCCTGCTATGATCTTCGACCTAATTCAATGATTTCATTTCATTTAAAAAGTTATAACTTTAACCAAAATAGATTTCGTGTTATACTGCACGACCAAAGATCATAAATAATAATCCAACGTCTATATGGAGAAAGAACAAGTTGTTGTTGTAGTTAGAATAAAAAACATTTTTCGTAACAGAAAAAAAGGGAGACTAACAAAAATTTAATAATTTTAATAGTTGAGATCATGAGTCAATTGGAGCTAGACCATCATGGAAAACCTGGAAGCACTGGACGGATTTTTCGTCCTATTGTGGGACCCCTCATCAGTGCTTCCACGGTTGCCATGGCAACCTAGCTTCGATTGACTGAAGACATCAACCATTAAAATCACTATAATATCCATGACACCCCTTCTGATAAAAATGCAAT